TGACCATTCTTGGCCGAGGGTCGCTGCATGTACACTGAAAAAAAAAAGAAGACATGTGCCCCACAGTTTCAACCTGACAACCAATTGCAAACACTGGCGACGTCGACATTGACCCAGAACATAGGCTGGGTCAACCTATACATGTACAGTACAAACTCACGCCGGCCCATCCTGTCAAAACGGACAACTGTACTCACACGTAAACGCACTAGGATTGCCACTGAATAAAAACAAACAACAAAACTAGCAAAACCTACGCATACTAAATAGAATAATAGCTCCATCACATTAACTACCATTGTCACGACTTCAACGCGTCAACGCCGTCGAAAAAAACCCCAACAACTTTGGAACCTCTAGAGTATTAAAACAGCACCAAAATCCTTACTTGGCCATATGTCTCAGTTCAGTTCGGTTTTTATTCGCACTTTAAAAAAATGTAACAATACAGACCCAAAAAAATATAAATGAAATATAACAGTGCAGGGAGGCCGGAAGCATAAAATGCTTATGAAGAGGCCTCCCTTCATAACTTAATTAACAAGTCAAATGAATTTGATGAATAAGAAATAACTTACTAGGTAACGGGTAAATGAAACAAAACAATAAAATACAATACGATGCAATACTATCTACAATAATGAAAAGTAGTAGTGAAAAGTAGTAAACAAGGAAAATTAAACAAAAATTAAGAATGTGTGGGGTTATTTATGAAAGTTGCTTTAGTATGATTTTTGAAAATGGTGACGGAGGGACTAATTTGTAAAGTTCTACTTAGGTTGTTCCAAATTGTTGGGCCTCTGTACGTGATTGTAAATTGACGAAGATTCGATTTCGCATTGGATGGCCTTAAATAATTGCATTGGCGTGTAAAGTGGTTGTGGATGTCTGAGTTTAATAAGAAGGTGTAGGTGTCGTGGAAGGTTTCAGGAAGGCAAGGACATTTATTCATTATCTTGTACATTAAAAGACTTGTTTGTAGTTTATTTATGTCATTTATGGACAGTATTTTGAGCTTTTTAAACAATGGTGCAGTAGGGAAAGTGAATGAAACTTTTGACGCTATCCTGATGTATCGTTTCTGAAGCAAAAAGAGCGGTTTAAGTGATGTAGTGTACGTGCTTGCCCATATAATATTACAATAACTTAAGTAAGGACAGATAAGACTATAATAGAGAGTAATAAATGTTTTAGGACATAAAATATTTCCTACTTTCCGTATAATACCAATGTTCTTGGATATTTTTTTACTAATAAGATCGATGTGATTTTTCCATGTTAATTTTGCATCTATTAAAACCCCTAGAAAACGGGTGTGTGTCACTTGAGTAATAAGGTTGTTGTTTATGAATATTTGTACGTTTTCCTTCGGGTAATTTCTATTTTTACCTGCAAGTATTATTAAATTTGTTTTTTTTTAACATTTAAAGACAATTTGTTTGTTTTAAACCACTTACTTACTTTATCCAATTCTTCGTTCATTGTAGTTTAGATTTTTATGAGACATGAATAGATTTGTATCATCAGCAAAGAGAAGAGCAAATAATTTTTGAGATACTTGTGCTAAATCATTTATGTAAATTAGAAAAAGTAGGGGTCCCAGGATGGATCCTTGAGGAACGCCACATGTTATCGAGTTATGTTGTGATTTGTAAATGCCATTGGTAACATATTGTTTTCTGTTAACAAGATAATCTTTAAGCCAATCATGAACTGTGTTTTGTAAGCCGTACATATGTAATTTGTCAAGTAATATTTGTGGTCAACGGTATCAAATGCTTTTGAAAGATCAAGAAATATGCCTACGGTGTATTCGTTGTTTTCTAACGCTTCGGTTATTTTATCAGTTAAGCATAAAAGGGGCATGTACGTAGAATATTATTTTGCGAAATCCATATTGATGAGAATAAAGAATATTATTTGTTTCTAAGTACCTTAAAATTCTTTTATAAACTAATTTTTCTAAGATTTTTGAAAACGTAGGAAGGATTGATATAGGTCTGTAGTTTGTAAATATGTCAAGATCTCCGGTTTTGTATAGGGGTATTACTTTGGCCATTTTCAATTCTGTTGGTACTGATCCAGTTGACAAAGAAAGCTTAAAAATATGAGTAAGTGGTTCTAAAAGGGAGGAGACATTTTGCTTTATCAAAGATGCACTTAATTCGTCATGGCCTGGAGCTGCATTTTTCAAATTTATGATAATATCGTGAATCTCTGTAGAATCTGGGTCTTCAAAAGAGTTAGTGTGTGGATAGGAACATTCAAAATATTGCAAAGGGGAACAATCGGTCTTTTCGATTTTGTTTGCAAGGGATGGCCCAATATTGGTGAAAAAATCGTTGAATCTGTTAACAATGTCTTGTGGATCATCTATGTATGACTCGCCATCACGAAATTTATTAGGAATGACAATACTTGGTTTTTTTTCTGTTAAGTTCGTTGATTATTTTCCAGGTTTTGGATATATCCGAGGATGCGGCTTTTAACTTTTCGTCGTAATATTTCTTTTTAGACAAACGAATAAGGGAGTTGTACTTGTTTCTATACGTTTTGTAACGGTTTAAAGTAGTTGGAGTTGGATTCTTTGTGTACGCCTTATAAAGTTTGTTTTTTCTAGTTAACGATTTTAACAGGCCAGTGGTAAATCATGGTTTGTTGTTCTCCAATTTGTGGTTCTGTTTACATGTCTTTAAAGGAAAACATTTCGTGAAGTGAGAATGAATGATTTTACTGAAATACGTAAAAGCAGAATTAGTATCGGTACTTTGATATATGCCCTCCCAAGTTTCATCGTTTAATAATCTTTCAAATTTCTTTTTATTAATACTATTAAATCTACGTTGAGTACGTTCATTACAATTGATTTTATCTCTGGTAAGCGATTCTTTAATATAAAACATTGGAAAATGATCAGATATATCAGTAAAAAACAAACCTGTTACGTAAGAATCATTCAGGGAATTTGTCATAATGTTATCAATTAGTGTTGCTGACTTATTTGTTACTCGGGTTGGCTTAGAAATGGTTGGATAGGTACAACAGGAAAATAGAGTGTTGAGAAAATCAGCTGTTAGCTGATGTCTCTAACAATCTTTCATCGTAGTCTTCAGAGAAAAAGTCAGGGAATTTTCAGGGGTCGTTTTGTCTAAAATAATAACAGAAAAATAATCGTTTTCTATATAAACTAATAACAGAAAAATAATCGTTTTATATGAAATGATAGAAAAATAATCATTTTCTATAAAGAAAATTACAGAAAAATTATCGGTTTCAATAAAATAACGGTGTACAAACCAGGCACACTTCGCAGGCTCACTTCCTGGCCCCTGCCCACAGCTCTAACGGGACCGGTAACGGATGTCTCAGCACCGGGGATGTAGACATTGGTTGCCTCGGAGGATGAGGGTGTGTCCGGCGGCGGCTTGACGTGAACGATCTGTGCCCTCCAAGCAGAGGTTGGTGGGGAAGATCACAGCCTGCAGAAGAAATACGAGGGTGTTTGTCGTGAACGTCCAAAAAAATTGTATTTTGACATTAATGAAAGTCTCTCAGATGATTATGAATGACGAATCATTGGCTAAGACTACATCGCATGTCTAATTCATGTTATTTGACATATAATATACCTGATGCAATCGTTGTGCAATTATGAACATTTCATACTTGACTTGAATCAGCTCGCCCAAAACAGGCTAAAACAACTGAAGATTAATTACCCGTCTGACATGTTAGGTCATCTCCAATTTGTCACGCATTCTTTAAGTCAATCTATTAACTCCATAGGTCAGAAAGACTGGCCCTATGTGTCAGTGTTTGAACCTAGCTGTCACTCAACCGTGCAGATGCAGGTGGCAGCTGCTGTAACGTGTAACACTATATACGTGGGACTCACTGGCGACACAGCTTCACAGTCTCCACAAGACTAACAAGTAAAATTTACCCAAAAAGGGAGAATAATTTGACAGTACAATTTTAATTTTATAAAAAACACAACACATGTACACACAGTTCTCTATCATTGCTAACGTGGGCACGGGTAACACCTATGATGACCCTATCTCCGTTCTCAGCTGATCTGGACAGATACTTATAAATTGCAAAGTTTATTGGAAACTCGTATTCGTAAGATAAATTACAACAAGCACATTATTTTGCAAGAAAATACAAGAATTGAGAGTCTAAAAAAGAGAGGGAATGTTCGACCATAGAGAACCAGAATGACAATTTATGCATCAAAACGGAGACAACGAAATAATTTGCACTGCACCATACAAATAAAACCACGCCACAAGACCGAATAATGTGGGATGACGAGACATCGAAAAAGCATGTTAATACATCCAAGTGGCAAAATCAAAGAGATCCTGGAGAATACTAGTCAACCAGGGAGAGATTCAGATTTCAGGCGAACGTCAACGTTATTCAGAACAAAACGGCTTCAAACAAAACGATCCTCGTACTAAAACGGACATATACACATGTACACAGACTGATACACTGATGATAATAATGAATAATTTGATATATAAAATATAGATGATTTCAAAACTTTCAGATGGAAATGTGGTGCTTTGGAAGAAAAGGGAAAAAGTTTTAGGGTACGAACATGGGATGTAAGTTTTAACCTTTCTGAAGAACTATGCTTTTCGGAACGACGGGAAACAACAGGTCAGCTGCGACCAACGATTATGATTCTGTTTACAAGATAGGGGCCAATATTACGCATAGGGCATTCAACGTTTGTTCGCAGAATGGCACCGTTTCTTGTCTTAATCCAAAGGTCTGTTTTTGTAAAGATGATCGCTAGAAACTGATGGAACGAAAACACGTTACATCACTACAATATGAAGACAACAATCGCTGAAAGAGACTGATCAACTCATTTGTAGCAACTTTCTAACTTACCCACATACCTTCTGCCAGCTCCTTGTCTGCCTTTAAGTTGTGCAGCGTCAGGTCGGGCTTCCATGTCCCAAGGATAGTGGAATATCATAGTGTCCTAGATCCTTGGATTTCCCCTCGCTGTATGATCTTCGTGGCCCCGCAATTTAGTAAGAGCATACTTTCCCACAGGCAGATCCAAGACTAGGAGCATTTCCTCTGTTTCCTTTCCCGTCATCTCGCCCTTGACCAAGGCCTTGAATCTGTAGCTGGGGCAGCTTTGGTGCTTGTGCATAACCTGGAATTATTCCGCCATCGAGAGGGAGAGGAAGGATTTCACGTCTGTGCACGGTGACGGCAGCGCGAGAAATGGCCTGTGTGGTCTGTTTCTCCCCCAGCCGTTTCCTGTTACCAGTGTCAGCTGTGTGTGAGAACTGAGAACTTCAGTTAACTGCGCCTCCGGTGATTTGTCAACTGTCTGACAAGGGTGACCTTAGGGTCATCTCACTGCTCACAGGCTGACAGTCTGGAAGCAGACGCCTTCTCATGTCAACAACTAGAGACTTGTGAGTGGCAAATGCTGGGCGTCCGGTATTTGTAAAACTTTGCAGGAATACGTCTTACGCATAGCGTCCTGATATATCTCTGGGCACAAACATATCACCAATAATTAACTCCATCACTACTGCCAACGATATGGGTTAGAAGTAGCTTGGGAGCAAGGGTTGGCCGCAGTGGTCGCAGCACACACAAGTTCTACCCCGCTATAAAATATATTGTATGTACAATACCCACGGTTCACACAGTGAAAAGCCGCTTGTCTTTTAATTGACCTCAGATTAGACAGAGGTGAACTATTATCAATCACACCGCTAACGTAGCGACCTGAGGTTAAGCCCGATGTCATGCCTGTCAGACACGTCTAGACGTAACTGCGCAAACCCTCCTTGATTTTAGTGGACTCAGAATCGGACCATGAAAATAACGTATGTGGTTTATATCTCCCCTGGTGTGATTTTTTAGGTTTCAAAACCTCTAAGGAAGCAGAAATTTGCCCACGAAAACGGACGGGCAAGGCGTGGGGAGGGCGCTGTTGACGCCTGTATGACCCTCAAAAGGTTGAAGGTCATGGGGCATAGAGAAGTCATAAAGAAGTGAAATTTTGTTTTGGGTGTAACTATTGTTCTTTTGTTAGTATATTGATGAGGAAATTATTTACAAGGTAAGTGGGGATTAGAAAAGGATGAGAAGGAACCCTGTAAAAGGTAAACGGTAAAGCACACACAAAAAACATATTGTAACTTACACTACAACGACTACAACGCAAACCTGTCTATATTAGCAACCGCTAATATTACTATCTAGTGTTATCTGTCCATTAGGTCAACTTCTACGCTTTCCAGCCGCCTCTGACGGATGGTAGAGGCTACATGTACATGTACAGCGCATAATGTGGACAAACTTAGATGCCTATTGACTGCTTATGCCATCGTTTTTGTTGAACATTGGGAATGAATATATCTCTGGGAATTCAATATTATTGTACCAATTCTTTTCTTTATAATTTTTAATGTGTTTTTTTTTTTACATTCGTCTTCAGTTTCAGACTTTGGCAACAGAGGCCGACATGGATGCTGCAGTGCTGTTTGTCTGGGGAATGACAGCTCTACTGTCTATGTCCCTAGCGACACCTATTGGTAAAGCACGTTTATTTTGCATGTTCATGCCCGTGAGCTGATAGCAACATGAAACAATGTATAGAAGGACTATACGCACAGTATACATCTGACCCGTACTTACCCCCAGTTGAGCAAAAATGTTGATTTTCATTCAACACACATTGAATTTTATACATTTTGGCGACGCCTCTGTCGCGGATCCTGTTGTATAGTATCAAGTTATCCTTGCAAGTAAATTTTTGAATTCTGAAAACCTTACCAAATCCTTACCAAACTGCTTTTAGCAGCACTTACAGGCATATCATCTAATGTTTCTGGCGATATCTCAAGATGTAAAGAAAGCATTTGCTGCTTTAATCATACTCAATGGACAGCAGCGTTCATGCTATATCCATCCATGTTTATCAATGTTACAGCAGTTTATTCAGAAGATTTTTGTCCGTGATCTCTAACATTATTGTTTGCCTATTACCAAACAGTGCTCGTTCACTGTAGTATGTCATAATGTCCTGTGTAAAAGTGACTTTTTCCCACCTCTTTTGGATAACGCTGATGTTTCTGTTCCCATTTAAAACAGGAAAACGCAATGATACCAGTGTAAGGCCATCCATTGTCGAGATCAACCTACAGGCCGGTAAGTTATAATTCACTAACTTCTGGAGGAACAAGAAATCGAAAGAGATTCCAAAACTCAGCTGGCAGTTTCAGACACCACGTTAACATCAATGTTAACAAAAACTCTACATTAAATTAAAGATGTGTAACATAGCAACATGATACAGGCTAAAAAGAGTTATTTGGTATAGTCCATTAGTAAGACTTCAGCTGGCGCGCGGTAACTTCAGTGACCCAAAAATACAGTCAGATACAATGGAAAAACTACAACATCTGGACCCTAATAATAGGATCTAATTATATACCGAAAATCAAAGAAATCCGTCAAACCCACCGTGAGTTACAGTTGCGAACACACAAACATGACCGAATACAGTACCTTCCCGCGGAAGGATACATTATTTCTTTGAGGTAATAAATGCCCAGTGTCTCTTTTGCCATGACTTCTGCCGCCCGTTCCATGTGGTTCCTCGTTTGTGGTCCTGCGCGGGTTTCAGCCGGAGAACCTAGTCCCGATTGGCGTCGTATCACGCATAAATACATGTATCGCGATGTTTCGAGAGGGCCTGCATGCCCTTTTTCGTAAGGCGTAATCAGGCCTTTTTAGACTTCGTAATTCGTACGCAGCCTCCGCAAAAATCAACGTAATTCGTAATAGGATATTAGCCGCAAAGCGTAACGTCGTAATCAGCTCTGAGACTTTAACGTAATTCGTAATCGGCGGCGGAAATTTTGCGTAATTTGTAATCACTGCCCCCCCCCCCCAATGCAGGCCCTCTTTCAACACAGAATTGATATCACAATTGAAATCACTGCTGCATTATTTTCTGCAGGCTTGCTGGGTAACCCAAACTGCGGTGAGATGCCGGCTTGTGATAAGGTCTGTAGGTTTGGGTACGAGAAGAGCCAAGATGGGTGCCCAATATGTAGCTGTATCCCGGGTGAGTATAGACAGAACCCTACCCCCCTACAACACACAACATTCCATGTCTGATAATGTTTTACATCTCCTAGAACTTACACTCACATGTGCATTTAGTCCTGGGCAGGACTTCACAAAACCCACAAATTTTAGAAAAGGTGGAACATTACGTGTTCCATGGTTTACAAAAGAGAAGTCAAACCCTTAAGACATAGTTTTAGACATAGCAATAGTTTTAGACAATTAGATTTCATAATGTACGTTTTAAAGATATTTTATGCTATGTAGCCTTCGGGCATGGATTTGCAATAAACTTACCATTGATATGCAATAAAATGTTCATTCATTCATCCATTCATTATACCTCTTTAACAAAAACTGACAGATGATAAGAATATTCTTATCGAGGGTGACATGATGTCGACTCCCGCGGTCCGAGCCCGTCTGTTCGGCCCGGGGAGCCGCGGGTCCACCGCATTTGGGAATCTGTGGCCAGGAGGAGTCGTCCCTTACGTCATCGACAGTTCACTTGGTGTGTATAAACTGTGTTTATCGTCATCCTCCCCATTAAAGTGCTCATGACACCAAAATATGACCTTAGCTGATTGTAGTTCACATAACTAGTATTACCTGGCTAACAGACACAATTACAATAAATATGCACGGTTCTCGTGTTACATTCGATATTCTAATGCCCTGCCTTGGAAAAGTCAGCACAGGCCAGTCCTGGTAGGCAAATTGCATCTCTACATTTTATTTTTGCATGTCTTTATTTTTTCACCCAGTGATGTCAGCTCAGGAAAAAGCACATAAATGCAAAAATAATACACAGAGATGCAAATAGAGATGCCTAAAGTGGGCTAGAGAGTGGGCTGGTTGACATGTAGTTTATTGTTTATTGTTTATTGTCAATTTGCACATAAAAATGTAACAGTATTAAAAGAAATTATATACAAGCAAATATATGCTGGAGAGCCCAAGAAACCCGAAGGTTTGTCTAGTGGGCTCTCCCAAATCCTATTAGTTTTACGATCTCTTATTTACATACATTTATTACATTTACATTTAACTTGCAATGTATTAAGGGACAAGCAAACAAATTAACTCAAAATAGGTACAAGGTAATATAAAGTTAACACGGCGAATTAGATATCTAAATAGTAAAGTAAGACAATCAAGAACATATCATATTGAATAAAAAAAATAGATTATATTATATTATATTATATTTATATTATTTTATAGCCAGCGAAGGATTAGCAACGCAAGCGATCACGGCGGGGATGAACGAATGGACCTCACAGACCTGCGTCAGCTTCGTCCCAAAAACCGTGCAGACCAACTACGTCAAGTTTTATAAGGGCGAGGGGTAAGTTAATCTTTGCTAATTAATGTGATTATAAAATATCTGTAACTGACAGGACAACATTAAAAAACTAAGGTACAATTGTTTTATTTTCAATGGCGAAGTGGTATAAGTAGTATAAGTGACACGCCAAAGTCAGCATGCTGATTCATCTTTAGTCTTGTACGTAGGTCAATTCTTTTGTACCCACGTGTCTGTCTGTCTGTTTAGTTATAGACCTTACGAAAGTCTCTGTACCTTTGTTGTGTCAATAAAGTCCTTATGATGTATCGTTGTTCTGTGTGTTTGAAGGTGTTGGTCTTACATCGGTGTCGTTGGAGGGGAACAACTCGTTTCCCTTGATACGGGCTGTTGGTACACCGGCACTGTGGCTCATGAGATCGGACACGCGCTCGGCTACTTTCATGAGCACTCACGTCCAGACAGGGACGACTACGTCACCATCCAATGGGACAATGTACTAAGTGGTACCGGTAAGTACAGTAGGCATGCCCGTAGACAGGATTTTGAAGGGGGAGGGGGTCTTCGCACTGTCTGAGGGACCAGCGAGCGCCGTGGCCGAAGGCGCGAGGTGTCTAGAGGGGTATGAGGGGTACGATTCTAGCCCCGCTGGTAATACGAAACAGTCCATCTTTTAAAGAAAAATCTTGGACATTTAGATAAAAAGTGGACCTTTGGGCCTTGTGTGTGTGTGTGTGGAGGGGGGGGGGTCTTCCTGGCTACGGAAATGGTAGGCGTCCTCCCATCTCGAGAGATGATGATGGTAGCATGCTATTGCTAAGTCTGGTTTTGTGGCCGTGTGCAACGTCTAGTGTGCCTCATCAGCCCAATATATACAATCCAGTGGGACTGATCATGAGTTTGGTATTGTTTGTCTAATAACAAAGCAGTCTTTCTTTCATATATTTTTGCATTGTGGGAGTTTGCATCTAAAGATATATTCACATTTTTTATGACATCAAGTCTCTTGAAATCTGACTTGAATTGGGATTTACGTTGCTTTGGACGAATTTCAGAAGAAACAAATCGTCATTGGCTACATCATGATATCTTATTGCATATTATGAGAAATAAACCATGTCACTGTTATTCGTATATTGTAATTCCTGATTTTTTCACTGTACTTTTATGTTCACAGTTTTCACTGTCACTTCTGATAAATAATTCCTGGACTTTCTTTTTCCTGCACCTGTCGCCACCATGAATATATAGTATCGTGAACATGTCCACTTTTCTCAGACAGTGAAATTTTCCTACCGTGAAAATAAAGTGAATTACAGTATTCACAGTCAAGGGAGGGATATGACAGCCATTTTCCTGTTTTCCACAGAATTCCGTAGACAATTCGACAAATATGACGAGTCCTACATCGACTCACTCGGCACTACTTACGACTATGGATCCGTCATGCACTACCCTAGGGATGCTTTCAGCTCGAACGGCCAACCTACCATTGTTCCAAGCCAAAAGTAAGACCACATTATGCAATTTTACAATATTGCTTTTATTAATGCTCACGTATCAGAATGTAGAAAACGCGTTTACCTAAAAACTTAAGTAAATGTAGCTGGCATATGGAGAAAAAATGGACAAATAGTGGTAACATAATTACATAATCATTTCTATCCGAGATTTATTTTAGTCGAGATGACAAGGAGGTCTTGTCTCTGATAAAAAAAAAACTACTGTGTTAAGCCTAAAGACGATTACTGGTTAAGAGAAAGCAAACGATTAAACACAACGCTATTCTACCTCTTTGATAAAAACATATAGTGCAAAAAAAGCCCGTTGCAGTACCGTTGAAGGACGCCAGGTGATCCATTTTCGAACTTGACCTTCGTTTTCACAACCGCTACTTACCTACCGAATATCTTGAAGGCCAATTCACTGCTTTTTGAGTTAAGATGTTGACATACGTACAGACCCACAACACGGCCACTCCACCATGGCCAAACCGAAAACATAACCTTCTGGCGAAGGTAATTAATGAATTTCCTCTCCATACATTAGCGGCGTGACGCTCGGCAACACAGAGGGGATCAGTGAGATGGACGCCAGGCAGATGAACCTGCTGTACGGATGCAGCCCGCCAGGTGAGTTAGATGAGAGTCTGTCCTATTAACCCAACATACATTTGTAGTCTGCACAATGTTAAAATGTCTTAGAGCAACGCAGTTGAAGGGCTTGCCATCTTGATATATGGGAATCACTTGTAGTATGTCAGAAAAGTTGTCAAAGGTCATCTACTTGAGGTTTAGACCACGGAAAACACACAATGACGGTTACTCAAACCTCTGCATTTAGTTCACTAAGTCTGCATTTAGTTCGCTACTAGAAAATTTCATACGACAGAAAGTATGGTGAATATAACCCTAAGATACATGACTGACCTCTGATCCAAATGGGCAGTGTCGTCAGCTGGCGCCAGGTAAATGATAACAGTTGATGTGTAACAGACTCCTTCGCACGCCTATGAAACACCTGTAAGCTGCAGCAACGAACACACACACATTACCGAAAACAGAACCCTTCCGCGGAAGGATATCCCATTCCCTGAAGATTAAAACACTGCAAACATTTAACAATTCACAGTATTATGATACATATTGTTGCAGGGGAGTCTACTACACCGGCGGCAACGACATCAGCTTCCTCCTGCATGGACAAGAATGAAAGGCGTTGTGACCGCTGGAAAAGCTTCTGCCCGTTCAGCGGCAAGATGCAGAAACATTGCCGCCAGACTTGCGGGCTGTGCTAGCCGGCACACCGCTGAAAATGCAAACACATCTTCTGCACATCTATTTCTTAAAGGCGTCAAATGCAGGGCGGCAAAACAAAAAGTATTCTGGATGAGGAAATCTTGTCTGATAATGACGTTTACATTCGTCTTTCAGCAAATTTTTATCATCATTTTATACCTTTTAAAGTATAAAATGATGATAAGAATTGAACGCGTTTGGGCCAAAAACAAACTACACGAGGAGTCTCTTTATTGTATGTATTTGGTACCGCATATAAATACTAGAACCAGTCTAAGATACAAAACAAGTAAACGTTTTCATCGCATGTTTGTTTCAAACATATGAGTATGCTATAGGAAAAGTATAGCAAAGGTTAGATTCAAGTTGCTAGATGGAAAGAATGCCACAAAATTGATTTTGAAAATTGAATTTTGCCGCCCTGAAATTGCATTGGATGTGTTTATTATGTTTTCGGGGCTGTGTGTCTGTCGGTGAACAACATAACTCAAGAAGTTATAGATGAATTGTAATAATATTTGGTATGTGGGTAGGTCTCAATGAGACCTCAAAATGAATAGATTTTAGACCACCTAGCAACTTGTTATGATACTGCAGTGGGACTTCTGGTGTTGATATCTCATGTTCTATACATGTTATGGTCATGAATTTTTGGTGGAAGATAGCTGTTGTACCTGGGAAGAAGTGAAATAAGCGTGAGCTTCCAAGCAGCTTACTCTATAACTACAGGACCAACAAGAGAATATTTCGGTTTGATAGTCAGGTGCCGCCGCGCCATATGTGTTACGCAGTGGGCGGTTACACTGGCTATAAAGATAGAGGATAACTCGAGAGAGAGTTGGAGGATCGCCCTGACTTTTGCTTTGTAACTATAGCTTTCTTAAAGTGACGCCTGATATAATTAGATGCCAATTTCGCAAATCAGGAGGTAATTTAGACAATTAAAGAGGAAATTCTATATACATTTGCTGCCTTCGATGATGGGACTATGTGACGTGTGTAATTATAATTGACAACCAGTGGGACATCGACAGATATGAATTAAGACCGACATGTAATTTGTACAATTAAATAGGAACTGACGGGGGTTAAAGAAAACTCCTGTTTCCTAGTGGTAAATAACGCTATGAGTCCGACGCATATTGCTGCATTTTGGAAGTTAAGTAAAGGTGAACATCGTTTAACATAACCTATGTAAATTAGGATCTCATTTGCATGAATAATGAGGAAATGCCTTCCTTTTAAAGCTAAGACTGACATTCGGTGGAGAATATGATCAACTGATATGAGTTATATAAATGAGGATCTTACATATGCATAATCAATGAAAAATATATTTTATCGGTCATAAAGGTTAACATCATTTGGCAAATGTATGAGCTCGTGTAATCGGTTTATCAACTTTCTTTCCAATACCTTTTTGTGCACCAAACATTGGTCGATTTCAAAGACGACAAACCACATGCACATATGTACACTATTTAATAAAACGTTGGCAAGTGGTCCTATTATGACATAGGCTCCTAGTCTACTTCATGTAGAACAATGTCCAGTACTAGCAGGAGGTAGGATGCAAAACAGTTATAGTATATAGGGGATGCGTGGTTGGTGAGAGGGAGATTACGACCATTGAAATCTCAGTATGGTCTTCTTATGTCTATATGCCTGTGTCTTGGCAAAACATATCTATCATTCTTAACAGCGCTGTCCTAATGTTTAGAGGATTAAATGGCACTGAAGGATACAGCTGTTGTGTAGCTTTAACTAGATATTATATACATGTATATGTACAACAAACTGCGCCAGTTAAAATCTAACATTTCCCTAATTTCTGCAATCTGAAGTATATGAAAAAGCAGTAGCTCCAAGAGACTGCTATTTGTGACCAATATCCTTTGTTTACCATTGATGCTCTCATAAACATATTTTGTAGACTTAAGCGTTCTGTCCTTTCTTGTAACAGACAACATCCATCAGACTGTGAAGTTTAACATATCGTTACCCTTTCAAGTATTCGTGGACAATTAATTCATAACTCTCGTTCATAACTCAATAGCTTCTTTATGTCAGGTATCTAGATCTGAGATATCTTAAGTAATATTTCGTTAAGGGATACTATCCATAGTTCATGTAATCGGCATCCTTTTTTTTGTTTCTTTTCGGGATCCGGATAAGGTGCTATGAGTTCATGACATTTGCTCGAGTGCTCGTATGTCTACAGGCCAAATATTTCTCTGTAGTGTTCCAGGCCACTCGAGCTAAAACCCAAGTTGTTAAGTGGTATTCAGTGTTTTAACCGCAGATACGTTTCCTCACCTACAGTGACTGAAGTCAATGACGTTCCCTTAGTTGATAACCGAAGTTCCTTCTGGGCGTTGTTCAAGATATTTAAGTGTCGCTGCAGTGTCAAAGCGCGCAGTGTTCTATGCATGACACGGTGATTTACACATTTTGACTGTTGTCAACAGTCAACGGATTGTTTTTGATCCCGCATTACACTCTACATTTTGAAAAATTTCATGAAAGCCGATGCCAGCTGATTTCCGAAGGTCTCGCCATAGATGCTCCGCTTCATGCGCATAGATTCTACAAAATACCCGCAGGCCTTACTGTCATCACCAAGTTTGCGCCACATGGTACCCAGGTTGTCTAATGCAACTACAAGGTCATGATGTACAGTGGTCTCACCGTGGAAACTACGCCACATCTGCAGTGATTGTTCAAAATAGCTGAGCGCCTCCCTGTGATCACCAAGGGCAACCCAGGCGTAACCCAAGTTGTTAAGTAAATTGGCCATGGCAGGATGTGCGGCATCCTCCCCATAGATTCTCCGCTCCATCTGAAGAGCTAGTTGATAGTAGCTGATGGCCTTTCTGTGATCACCAAGGTCACTACAAACATGACCCAAGGAGTCAATTGACTCTGCAATGTCAGGATGCACGGTGGCCTGACCATAGATGATCCGCTTCATCTTCAGGGACTTTTCATGGTAGTTGATAGCCTGTCTGTGATCACCTAGTTTGCGATAGGTGGAACCCAATCTGTCGTATGAACGAGTGATGCTAGGGTGTTCTTTGGTCTGATAGATACTTTCCCTCATCTGTAATGCCTGTTCGAAATAGCTGATGGCCTTTCTGTAATCACCAAGTTTCGCCCAGGCGATACCCAAGTTGTGAAGTGACAAAGCAATGTCATGATGTGCAATTGTGCCATAGACACTTTGCCTCATTTCTAGTGACTCCTCAAGATAGTTCACGGCTTTTGCATACTCACGAAGGTCCATCACGGCGAGAGCTAAGTTATGGAGTCCCGTAGCAATTAATCTTTTGGATCCTTCAGAGCTCCAACCTAAGAGTTCGCTCAATTTCCTGTCCAGATTTAGCGACCCTTCAAAATAGACGGCAGCCTTTCTGTGATCACCAAGATCTTGAAAGGCGATACCCAACGTGTTCATTAAATTGGCGACTTCCGGTGCGGTGTCATTGATTTCATCATCCGCGGCATGTGCAACATCTGTCCCTGACAAAATCTCGTCAAGTGCCAGTACCATGCAATCCTTTGATTCTTTGTAAGCACACAGATTTTTGAAAATTTTTGCTCTCATTTTAAATGAATTGTCGAATAGATTCGGCATCTCTTTAGGTGGCTGACTGTTGCCTAGTTGTGCAATAAAGTCCTGAAAAGGTTTTGCTGTGTAATAGTATCTCATGAGCTGTTTTCTATTTGAGAAATAGAACACTCTCAATGTCTCCTCAAAGTCTGCGTCTGTTGCCATTGACGATAAAGCTGACATGTTTTCCACTTGACCACGGTTGTTCATGTAGGTCCGTAGTCTCAGTTCTGCTGAGATACTGACCATCACCATCAGGTGATGTGCATTCTCGCTATCGACAACCCCGTGTCTGTGTAGCTGCTCTACGGTGTCCCAGATTGTGGTCAACTGTATGTCATGAAATAGTGCCAAACAGTACACCGCGAGACTTGAAAATCGATAGATTTCTTTCTTTACATTCAACAGCTGGTCACTTGGGACTTGCATTGAAAACTTTGTAGCATTCTCTTCCATTGTAGCCTTCAACAAGGAAACTTTCCCATCATTTCCTTGTAGCGCCTGTGACCATAAAGCGGTATACTCATCGACCAAGTCCTGTTCACCCGTGATCAAACACACATTTCCCAATACAGTAGCAAGATGGTAGCCTTCCTTTAGATATGTCGTTATGTCCTTGGTCAGAACTTCAGTCATCTTGGCCGGTGTGCGGATGAGTTCGCACGCCTTGCCTCTGCCAAGTGGAGTCTTACATGCTTTTGGCATGGCTCCGTCGAACGAAAACCCATGGGGCGTTACGGAGTCATAGTACCAGTCGTCAAGTGGGTCGTCAGAGTGGAAATCGTTCAGGGACTGAATGGCCATGGCCGGGAGAATGGTTTCTCCAAGATTGATCACTTTGAGATGCAGGTAATGAGTGAGGTTACGGAAATACTCGATATTGTTGTCCGTTTCCTTCTCAATTAAAATGGCGAACTCTACATCAGAGTACGGGGTTACTAACCCTGTGGCTTGTGAACCCAGGCCTACCATGGCGTACTTACAGGGAGGGGGACCCATTGCCTCTATACACTCATCTACAAGAGACGTTATGAACATTTTTCGCTGTTGGGCTATTGTCTGAAACAATGCTTGGATTGCTTTCACTCTGGCTTTCTCTGTTTCTCGTAACTTTGGGTCATCTTTTTCAAGACTGTACGGGTCCACCTCTAGCTCGATTCGTTTCATTTCTTTTTCGACAAAGTCCCGATCTTCTGTCAACATCGATTTGTGTTTCTCTGCGTCATCGATGTCCACTGCCTGCCCGATATTCAGCACTCCCTTAAGAAATGATTTGGTTATTTCTAGGATTGTGTGTTTGATTCCCTCTTTGTCTACTTTCTTTAATTTAGCCGATCTAGCAAGTGCTGCATGACAAAGCGCTGCGGCCTTGGTGAAATCTCCCCCGTCTTTTGACTGCATTCCTCTCTTCAGGTAGACATCGCTCAACTTGTGCAGGGGCTCTGCCTCTTTCCAATTTTCATCTGTGTTCAATTCTGAGAAAAATTATAATCTTAGAAATATGCTGTTAGCCTGGGTGCCATCCGATTTGTAACGGAGCTCCTTGCACTCGCTGACCCGTTTTTTTAGTCAGTTTGAGGAGCTCCGTTACAAATCGGATAGCCCCAATGCTAATGATACATTGTACTCGTTTTTATAAATTTATTCTATTGTTAATGTACACTTCGTATTATCTTGTGCACCATTCCAGATTCACGTGAAATATATCCTCGGGTACAGAGGTAACATGCTTAATTTTTTCCACATGATTAACGTTATGTTTCAAAATCACGGTCTGAAACATTTGGATATGAACGGGAGGTTGGCTAGTAGTTGATTGGTGTTCGGTATTAGGTCAGTGTGTACGGGGCCAAATTTGAGTCAAGTTTAATTCAACTTGCACTCAATTCGTATAAAAAGGTACGCATAACCTGAATCTGGTCAGACTGCTCATGGATTTCAGCCAACCTTGGTTAGTTGGTGGGGGAGGGGGAGGTAGGTTCTGATTGAGTGGCAGGGGATTATTTACTATGTACTTAACAAACTAGAATCATTGAAGGGATGACGTTTCTTTAAAAAAAAAAAACGGCGGAGAAACGTTTGCTTTACTGGATAAATGTGATAAAACTCACCCTTCACATGAACAGACTTGAGCGCAGCTGCAAAGCTTTGTTCCGCTTGATCCAGGTCTCCTTCCTGCAGGGCCCTGCAACCCTCCTGAAGGTGTCTATTGTATGTACTGAAAATAGCGAACGTCACATGAGTGGACTATAACATGTGTACATTCATATTTACCGCATTGTGGTATAGTGAACATCTGTCACACTTCCTTAAGATATTAATGTACAATTGTAGGCAACCAATGGCCTATTTATCAATATAGGCCTATGGTCATCTTAGATACATCTACAAGAACATACTTTAAATATAAAAAAAGCAATTCACGAACCTGTTGGTTTCTAATATGTTGATTTCTTCCTGTCGTTTGGTGCTTATACTTTCTTCGATACAGTTGCCCTGTTCTGCATTCATTCTGAAACGAATCAATATCAATGCATTAATATGTGTATACGTCTGTAAAATTAATGGTGTCATGACGTAACAAGAAATCGGAGATTCCAGACTTCATGGAAGTACTTTGGGTTTTCGTGAATTTCGTGAAACTTATCAGGACTATTATCAGGAAACTGTCCAAGATTCGAGGGCTCCTAGAATCATCGACTTCCCAAAATTTTCCCATATTTTGATCTCCGATCCTCTCTGGTCCAAGTTTGCTACATTTTACATTTACATTATACCTCGTCCTATCCCACCCGACGTGCTATCAATTTACTCTGTCCGGAAAACTTGTACATCAGCATGGTCGCATATGGCATACCGTTTCGTAGCCCACACTCTTCTCTCTTTCCCAAATGCTGAGTGCTAAGCAGAGAAAGCAGTGTGTACCGTTTTTAATGTCTTTGATATGACTCGGCCGGGGATCGAACTCACGACCTACCGAATGCAAGGCGAGCACTCTACCCACTGAGCCATTGCACCGGTAACAGTGACAGGATGCCACTTTTAATTAAAATTATGTCTTGAGCAAATGTGTAGATTTTATGGTGGTGTAAGTATACATAATACCACGCACCCTCCTCTTTCCCTCTGGTCATGGCCCGCGATGTCACTATCTGTTTGATGTGAAGCGGTAGCTAAAGACTCGAGGTTGTCATCATGCGTAGCTTTTCCAGCTTCATCCAACTCTTTGTGCTCCTTAAGTAAAGATACACACAACTTCAACTTTCATTGCTTGCACCCTAAGTGATTTTGTTTTTCAAAAGGTAAGTTTTCTAGAAAGCTTACAAGTACGGAAGAGTTACAATTGCTCGGACTACCATTGATAATTGGATAAGATCCAGATTAACCATATTCAGACCGGGGGTCGGTGTAACCACATTTTTTTCACTAAACTTTCATCATAACTCTGTATTTTTTCACATAAAACGTTCATAAGAACATCTGTGAAAATTTGGAGGCCCTACGATGTGTGCCTGTCGAGTTACAAGGGGCTGACGTCAAAAGCCCCCCCCCCCCGCCTCAGTATGACCAAAAAAGACAAATCTATCATTATTGGAGGACATATGTCCGACAGCAGTTTTTTTCTCAGTTTTTCGGCATGGACATTTTATTAACATATGAGTGTAAAAGTCAGCAAAGAATTAAATCCATGTCTTTGAATTCATACCTTTTCCAACTTTCTTTGGAATTTCTCTGTGTATCTCATGCGGTGCTTCAGTGTTTCTCTGCCATCTGAATCGTCGCATCGTTTCAAGGCTCCTCCATAAAGACCATGTGCTTTGCTCAATGTCGTGTGGTCCTTGCCATTTCTTCCCTTCTCAAAGTACAGATCACCGAGGCTCTTCAAAGATTCTGCTTGCAGGCGCTTATTTCCAACTATGACTGCTCTAACAAAGGACCCTGTATACCCTCCAACTAAGTCCATTCCACCCTTTCCTTTCATCTTCTCCACGATCACTTCTACTATGAAAAGTGACACCGATGCAAAGAATGTAGGTTCGGCTATTTGGGTCTCTTTCTTACACATCTGACTGTGGACTAGTTTCGTACATTTCTCGGCATACTTGATGCGATGTAAAGCAACCTCTCTCTCCTCTTGACTTTGACACCATCGTAAGAGTTCATTATAAAATGCACATGCCTTGTTGAAGTTATCTAACTTATTCCTATTCATCTTTGCTTCTTCTAAGTACACATCCCCAAGACCTTTCAATGCCTCACGCTCAAAGACCCAGTCTTTTCTACTTATAGCTTCAATCAACTTGCGTCCGTATCCATTCTTTACGGCAACAAGATGCAACCCACTTTCAAACATCTTGTCCAATTCAGTAAATTCTTCAACCACTTCTAAATTTAAGAACCTCGTCTCTGCTAAGGGCGCAGCCCCGGGTATCACTTGTGAGAGTGCATCCTTGATCCAATCCATATACTCATTCGGCCCATCGCCTAGTATCCCTCTCACTCTCTCCCAGAGTGCAAGAAGAAAAGCATCTGGACCCTCACTCACCGTCCCTTCATTTACGCCAAAAACATCAGCAAAAATCACCAAAGCCTCACGATCTTCTAGCGTAAGCTCACTCATTATTCCGGATATGGTCTTTTGATACTACTTTAAAACGGAATTCAATCCGTCGTGATCTGTTAGGTAAATTCCACAGACGTCTGGTGCAAAAAGGACCTAACTAGCTAGACAGATCTATTCCCATCATGCCTATTCAAGCAAGCTTCAGGATTGGGTGGCCCCACACCCATTTTTGCGACATGACGACGGGCGCCGCCTCTCACAGCCTCCGCTTTCACTCTAGCTGTCATCTGGTCCACAGACAGTTAATGCTGGTGAAGAGGCAAGGAAATATTACAAAAGTTTATTGTCAGTGGTATATTTTTCATTGTTATAGAGTAAAGTAGTAGTAGTAAAGCAGTAAAGGTCTCCATATTGTGGCAACGAATGAAATAAACACGTTCATAAGCTACCTCCCACACATTACTACATCCTAGACTTTGGAACAGGCTAGTGTAAATATAAAGACAAGTGCTGGTAGCACGTCGGCAGAACGTACTGCGCCTGCGCTTAACCCAGAAAGTAACGTGCATAGTACTTTTACAGAACGTGTCGTTTAAATTATTGTTCGCATATTTAAATTAAGAATGGCATCTTTTTCAAATATTGTGTCGGAAAAAGATATGCAAACATGCAACAGAAACAGTGATTTCACTCAGTACGTTCTACTGACGTGCTAGTGCTAGGGAGATACATTCCATGACGTCTTGGAATCAGGCAGTCCTCATTGGCGGATGAGAATGTCACGTGATGCCATGCCAACGATGACTGGTACAACACACCAGCAGAACGTACTACGCCTGCGCGAAATAAAATCCGGAACGTAATGTGCCTAGCACTTCGGTAAAAAAAGTTTTATTACGTGTTCACGTATATAAGGATGACATCTATAGTTTTCAAATGTTTTGTCGGAAAAGATATGTCATGCAAGGGAGAAAATTCTGCAACGTTGACCTGATTTCGCGCTGAGGCAGTATGTTCTGCTGACGTGCTGACTCGCACGTACACGTAGCTAATTATTACCATTGGTCACACGTCTTGTTAAAAGGTCATGTTTGCTTCACCTTTGAACCCCGTCGAGTGGTAGAAAGCGTTGCTACTTGAAAATAACAATATCTCGCTGACCTGGGGCCCTGTCGTTATAACTGAGACAGTATACACACACGCGCGCGCGCACACACACACACACACACACAAACAAACAAACAAACACACACAGACACACGCACATACACAAACACACACACACACACATACACACGCACAAACACACACACACACAGATAGAGAGAGAGAGGAAGAGAGAGGGAGAGAGGGGAGGGAGAGAGAGATTATCAATTTACAATGCCCCTTGCGTTCTTGCGTTCTGGTAGATGTTTGCAAAAGAACACTTTCATGAGCAAAATCATTTTGTTCTCAAAACTTTCATTCTGCAGCATCAGCCATATCTACAAGTATTCGTTCCATAGGGTAGTGCTAGTTTTGAAGTATTTTGCCTTTGTATGCGGACAAAAAAGATCATGTCCTTGTTATATACACAAATGTACTTACCTTTTCCCGGCAGGTTGCATGTTAAGCTCGCCCCAGTCACTGCTATCAAACTTTTCGTGGAGTGTGCCGGTAGCGACTTGTAAACAATTGTAATCCCTAAATGCAAAATCCAGAACGCAGTATGTATGTATGTCCCAGTTCAATATCTACATGTATCTTATCAGGCAGAATTTAGAACGAAATATGTTAAGTAATTGAGTAATATTACGTGCATGTATGACTGTACACGTATGTATTGATTTGTAAAGTTACTTAATATGTATATGAAGTGATTCGAATAACATACAATACTGTTAACTTTTACATGGTTATTCCAACCTAAGTTTCTGACATAAACCAAATTGACTAATAAACAACCATTCAGAGCATTTATTTCCAGTACAATTATAGTTTATAGAGTCTTCTTTCTTCTTCTTCTCCTCCACCGCATGTCAGCTGCTGCTGAGGCTGACCATCATTGCTCTCCATCTGTTTCTGTCTTCCGCTGCTCGTATGCTCATATGGTATAGAGTCCGTAACGTTGACTCTTTTATAAAAATCATTTTGAACCTAAACTTTTCCTCTAATCTGTTTAGTTGCAACAGGCTAGCATAGGTAATGCAATCGAGTGAACTTTACATTATAATCGCTCTGTAAATATTAGACCTCCCACCTGTGGTTGTCCAAAGAGAGTGTGTTCCAGTGACGTCATGGCTGTCCTGATTGGATAACACGGTCATGTGACACTATGCCAACTATGACTGGTAACGTATTGCCTTAGTCACGCGATTTTAGGTGGGGAATTTTGCTCGCTTTGCACTCGATGGAAATTTAAATTCATATACTTGAAAGATATATTTGAACACCATCGCATATGTCCTTGGCTGATTATCATGTCCCTATAGCTGTGAAGGAAGACCTAAGCACAGTGGTGTATTTGGCTTGTCAGTTTATGTTACTCCTGTATATGTTGCGACACATATGGTAGCTGTCTACCGTACTACCGTATGTTTCTCCAAACGACGCTTCTACGATTAAGAAATCAACTGTTGTAGCTCTCACAACGACAATCCTTATTCGGTGAAATAGCCCTTTTCGCTTAAGCATTGAAGTTGATATATGTACATCATGCATGCGTCCTTGTAGCATGTGTCAACCTAATGCTAGAGTGTTGGCCTTGTTCGTGTTTTAAAAGACTCACCTTTTCTCAATTCTGCAGGTAAAAGAAACGACCTCAACCCGCAACTGTCGCCGTAAAAAGAGGAAGTTTCAAAGTGCGACTGTGCCCTTTATACCATACAGGGGCGTCTGGGAAGGGGGATTCCCCTTATGGGAGTACACATCCAAACATATTTATACATACATGATTGGTAAGTTACAGGGGAGCCACCAGTTCAAATAGCATGTTGGCAGAACGTACTGTGCCTGCGCGAAACCGTACGTAATGTATTGTGCATAGCACGTCAGCAGAACGTCTCGTTTAGGGTCGTATCTGCAGATGGGTGGTTATTCTGCATTTTTGTTTTACAAAACGAACCCCTGTGCAGTGTAGACATCAAACCTGTTTTTTTTTACATAAGTTGTTGTCTTAGATGAGGTGATGTACACGCTGGCTCTTCCGTATCGTGGATACCCTAATTTTGGGGTGAAGAGGGGTGAAGGGAAGTTGTCTTCAGTCTTCCCCTGTCCAATGAAAACTTGCCATTTCCTTACAGGGGGAGGATTCGATATAGACGGAAGAGCCTTTTAGTTCAAATTCCTGATAGTTCAGTAACCTTGAGGGATTTGATACGTTGGAACGTCACAGAAAGGAGGTCTACACGATACAATTCGCTCCTACACTTCGTCAAGGTAATCTTTCCTCTTCCAATATTACTATATACGAGTTCTGATTTAAAAACACTAAACGTATATGTCTGGGTAGAGACTCCCATGTAGTAAAATAGGCGATTCTGAGTATCTGTGAACAATCTGCAGTGGTTCATGTTCAGTATCATACACGTACAGCATTGAAAGATTTTATGGCAAGCACAGACTATTTAAATGGTATTGGTAGCTACCAGTAATGTGTTTAATTAAACTTTACGGATTTGTTGAACAATATCAAGTCGGAGCATGGTGTTAGAAGGAGACTTCTGATCGAGACTTCTAACTCCATGGATGGTTGTAGCAATATAGACCTCGTTTTCTCTACCGGTAGAATCAGATTGGACTCTCTATCTTGACATATATATTGAAACTTGTAGTCTCAAACACTATGTAGATATCAATCCAATATATGATTTTTTTTGTAAATTCTAGCTATCAGTTATGTTATATTTGTAACAGCGCCCTGGTTGTCTGCAGATTTTTGTCTACCCGTACTTATTCTTTCATTTCTGAGACTGGCTATCACGACTTTTACTAGTACCTTCCAAACGTCGTTTTGTTTTTGCTTGAAGCTGAACATTCTTGAAAGATTTTGTCGACCAAGGACATAACGATTACTTTACTACTCTACTTTTCGTTAGTGATTAACTAATTCTGCAGTTAAACTCAGGTTAACGTTGTCTTATCATCGTCATACATTTTTGTTTCGTATGGATTGTCTAAGATTTGTCTTCACTTCATTCATAGTTCTTTGTTCGATACCAGTTCATCAACTACAAAGCCCGTTTAATAATAGTCACTTATGAAACGTACTGAATGCTTCTTGAAATGTCAGCCAGTTTTCAAAATATATCCAGTTCCTTGAGCTGCATTCTATGTAACATAATGTGGACTTACAGTCCGGTTCCCGTGTTTTCATCTTGAAAATGTGATAGCCACGTGGTATGTCAACCCTTCCACGAATGTGGTGAATCTCAATAGATAAAACCATAAATAATAGAATACTAATTTTTTTTTAAATTTTGTTTCTTCAGTTAGATCAAGCCAGCGTGTGAATCACCTCAACTCCGGCCAGAAGACAACAAATCAAGTAAAAAAAAAACAGGTTTGGCGGCTACACTGTACAAGGGTTCGTCTGTAAAACGAAAATGCAGAGCGACGAAACACAAACTCCAGACTTAACCACCCAGAACAAGACATGTGCACAACAGACTGTACAGAAGCAGTACAAGTGTCCGTTTGACCAGTGCGACTACTCTAGCAACAGGCTCCGGTACTACCAATGCCATCTCGCCAACAAGCACGACGCGGGAGAAAAGCCATTCAGCTGCCGTGAGTGCGACTTCAAGTCTGCCCGGAAGGACAACCTGGAGAAACATGTGCTTACTCACTCCGAGAACCGCCCGAGGCCGCACAAGTGCCCACACTGCAACTATGCCGCCATGGACAAGCGTACCCTAGGCACGCACATCGCTAGACACACCGACAACAGACCGCATGTTTGTGAACAATGCGGCTACCGAGCCGTTACAAAATCTATCCTCAGTAAACACATACAGGTCCACACGGGTGAGAAACCGTACGCTTGTACCGAGTGCGAGTTCAGGGCTAGAAAAGGGTCTGACTTAAAGTCTCACATGCGCAGACACACAGGTGAGAAACGCTATGTCTGTGAGGAGTGTGGGTACCGAGCGGCACACAGGAGAACTTTAATGATGCACATCGCGACCCACACCGGTGAGAAACCGTTCAAATGTGCCCACTGCGACTACAGGTGTAGACAACAGGCCGCTTTGACGAAGCACGAGGCCGTACACACAGGCGACAAGCGATACATGTGTGACCAGTGCGGCTACAGAACAGCAAACCTGTCCAACATGGCCAAACACAAGATGACTCACAGCGGAGAAAAACCGTACAAGTGTGACTATGGACAGTGTGGATACAGCTCCAACAACCATTCCAACCTCAAAACACACATCATGAAAATCCATGCTGCGAACAAAATCTAAGAACAAAACCAAGTAAAGCAGGATGTACTTTTTTGTTCTGTAACAAGCTCACGATAAGCCGATACGTAATGAGTACACTACGCAAATGCTGGGTATAGTAGGACAGAATTGTATTTGCTACTGTGTGTACATGTAAGTTAGACAATTATCGTTATAATTCTGGAGTATGGGGAAGGCTTTCGCTATCAAAATGAAAGAAAAAAGGTAGAAAAACAAAACGGAAAGAAGACTGCTCGGATGTGTAAATTCAGTGGACTTTCCGTTGTATTTTTGAAAATAAAACTGCTGTTGAATATTCAATATTCTTGTCTTCGCCTGGGTAAGGAGCACAGTTGTGTTTTGCAATGTGTCGTCGTACATCGCTTCGGCTCAAGTTGACCTTTTAGAGTAGATTATGACATTTTAGAACTATAGGCGGAATGTATCGTTAAATACCCGAATATGACATTACATTACACACCCACGTGATGTCAACCTACTCAACCTAACGGCGGACAAACTTTGAAACTTTGACTGTTGCTTCCACGTACATTTTTTTAAATCATCACTTTGGGTTTATCCCTAGCTGTTTATGGGTAGCTTCCTTAAGCTTCCTTATCCTTGTCTTGACTTGTCTAACTTTTATTTCCTTTTGCGCTTACAAATATTTGTCACAACTGATTTGCATACTACGAGTATCAATCATTACTTCGTGCTTCTAAACCTGCCTTTCTCCTGCAAGCCTCTATTGTCACTGACAAAATGTAGTGGATACTAGCTGAAACGTCTGACCGTTTCCAAAATCATATCCAGCTGCTTGAGTAACTGTTTTTTGCTTATCTTATTACCTGGATGTCTAACCTTCACCGACGCGACGTATCAAGGCTTTGAAAGAAAAAAAACTCAAAGTAGACAATCATAGGATATCTCAATCTCACGTGGGTGCCAGGGGTGGGTGCCAAAGAGTAAGAACTTACAGTGTAATCCTTTGAGCTGTTTGGTTCAAACGAGAGCGTTATACACGTACTATATTGAACAAGTATTGATGTGCAAAGGTGAAGGACTAAAGGACTAGAAGGCCAAATCCAGCATAATCCTAGGTCTCTACTTGGACTACCTTCTTTAAAACAAACAACTTCGAGTGAAAGGAAGGGATTATAAACGTCGGTGAAAAAAAAGCGAGGGTCACTGACAACCTGTTTGGTGCAAGAGGCAACAAATACCCCGTAATCACATGTCTACCTTAGAACCACCTGTTATGTACACTGACGGAATCGTGGCAGATAACTTCGCTGACAACATTGTCTCAGGAGTCACGACAGACGATCTGCCGAGAGACAACATGTTGCCAGCAAGTCAAAATTTGAAGAGTACCCCCAGGCCATCTGACAGTGATGACAACGACTGTATCCAACCTTATGCTGTTGGATATCAAGATGGTGATGATAATTATGATGACAAACCTACAGAAAATGACGAAAACTTCTGCATCCAACCGTATGCTGTTGTACATCCAGATGCTGTTGATGATTATGATGATAAATCTACAAAACATGGTGAAAGCCACTCCACCCAACCGTATTCTGTCCGGTATATAGATACTGATGGCAATGATGATTACGACAACACCTGCATCCAACCGTACGCTGTCGGATATCAAGATGCAGATGATAATTACGCAAACAAATCCTCAAGTTTTGAGACCAGCCCTACTGATGGTGAGGTCCAAACATACGTTGATGCATGTCTACAAACGAGGGATAAAAGAGATGAACTCTTACAGAAATCAGAAGAAGCGGCAGCCAGCAGCAGTAACATCCCAGTCAACACGGCAGGACGAGGCTCATCCGGGGATGATACTGAAGCTTCAACCCTGGCCGGGTATGATAGTCACGTACTCGAAACACGACGTCCACTTTGCTCATCAGAGGATGATACTGAAACTTCAACTATAGCTGTGTATGACGGAGACACGGCGAACCCTGATTCGATGTATGCCCCAAATGACGTACACCCAAATCCAATCTACCAACAACACGCCGGGAACATCCACCCGCAACATGCCCGGCAGCCTAATCCGATCTACCCGCAAAACAACCGGAACTCTGACCTAACTGACGAACCAAACCTTCTCCCTGAACCCACCGGACCAGCTGACAGTGATGACAACCCCTGCATCCAGCCATATGCTGTCAGATACAAGCACGAAGATGGTGATGACGAGAACAGAAAACACGCGGAAGGTGATCACAACCATTGCATCCAACCATATGCTGTCAGATACGGGCACGATGATGACAATAACAAAGACACAGAACGTGATGACAATCCTAGCTTCCTTCCATATGCTGTAAGATACCTGCAAACCGATGATGATGATGACAACACAGCACACGGTGCTGCAGCTCTCACTGAACAGACTACCGAGACCAGTCCTGCTGATGTCGATATCCAACCCTACGCTGTTGCATACATGTGTCAGGATGACGCGGTGACTATGGCTTCAAGTTTAGAAGAGATGCAAACTAAGGAGCCTCTTCAGAAAAGAAAAACGGTTTCAAACAACAGCAACGATATTCCTTCAAGTAACATGTCAGGACGTGGTCCTTTCAACGATGATACTGACACTTTCGGCTTTACTGACGACCACGGTAGCCTACGTAGGGTGCGACATCCTCTGAAGACTCTTCATCCTCATCCAACGGATGTGCAAAACGTCCTGAACCCTAATCCGATGAACATGGTACTGATCATGAACTCACTCATCCCTAACCAAGCTTACGCTCAAACCGCCCAAATCCGCAATCCGATATACGTGGCAAACGTTCCTCAACAAAGGGCATACGGTAAGATCTATTACACAATATCGTTTTTAATTAAATATCAAGATGTTGTCATAGGTTTTCTATCGATCATTTAATTTCTTTGGTGACTTTAAATCCATCAAATCTTTAGTATGGTTAACGTAAGTTTTAGAATATAGAAAGCTTAGAAGTATTTCAGTCAAAATCTTGATACCTTGATACCTTGTCCTTGATACCGTCTTCGGGATGAGAGGTAATCCTGTGGTGATCCCGATCTCGACTTCACTCAGTGTTATACTTTTTGCTCTCCCAGTATTTGTCTAGGTTCGTCTTGAACTCATAAGCAGCGGCATCTTCTTACTTAAAACAGAGAATTCTTTCCCAGCTGTTTAACTTTGCAATGATGTTATATTTTTCAGGACGCAGATACTTACCTGTTTTGATAACATGTATCCTTGTGTTATCGTTGATCATCGGAGGAATTATTGCAGGGTTTCCATTCCGTACCCGGGATATTGAACTGGTAAGCCTTCCCGTCTCTTCTTGTATTATCGTGGTTTGAATTGTTTTGTGCCCTTGTAAAATTTGTATTTGTATTTGTATTAGGAAAGGCACTTTACACGACTTTCCTCACTTAACTCAAGTGAAAATTAGTATCGTCTTGTCTTGTATTCGCCCTCTGCGTTGGTGGCGGTATAAAATTAGTTGATATAACTTGAGTGTGCCGTCACAATGTCTAGTCATGAAATGTTGGAATATGAAGCAAATAACAGCATTACATCTGTCTTCTCCTACAGCAAAACATTACCAGTGACTCTTTCTGGACAACAAAAACAACACAGTCGTGGACTTCATACAGCTCACAAGGTACAAAAATGTAGCCTCATTTGATTGGTTGATAATAATAAGCATTGTCCATAACCCCACTCTAACGCACGTGAATTATGTATTGCATAGTATTTTTGACACTTTAACATCATATAGTCTATTTCATCCTAAAACACCAATCATGAATACAACTTTCGACATGCAGCCACATTGCTTCATAAAGTGTGAGGTTTCAATACCAACTTGAACATTTAATATTAAAACAAGGAGTTCAAACTTTGGGGTCTAACAAGCTTGATTTCAATATACCATTAAAAGCACGCCTGTACTCAGGTATTCCATATGCACAACCCATCATTGCACCGTTATAGATACTTGAGAGCTGAATATCAACAGCTTAACTTGAGCATTAGAATGGTCATTATATTAGGCTATTATGGTTTCAACGTTTGAATATGTGCATTATTGTAATCACTTTCAGGCACCAACAATAGAAAAGTGAACTTAGAAAAGATCCTCTTCGGTGGGACCGGAAAAGATCCGGGAAGATTTCATATGCATTCAAGCCACGGCATGGTCGTGTCTGCTGCAAATGAAATATTCGTGACTGATTATTTCAACGAACGAGTGCAGGTCTTCAGCATGGATGGAGTCTTCCTCCGCCTCTTCCCAACGGTCGTTCCCGGAGACAAGGAGAATTCTACGATGCACCCTTCTGATATTGCCATTGACAGAGATGGTCATTTGTGGGTGACAGGAGCAGAGAGCGTAGTACAATACACACAGAACGGTGTGGTATTAACGAAGTTCAAAATACAACCCTTAAGATGGAAGCCTAGAATTGCCTTTGATGCTTTTGGCGTCAAAATCCTTGTGATGGGTCCCGGCATAGTTCTGATGTTCCATCCTAACGGCTCGTTCCATCATAGTTTTCAAATTGAATCATTCTTTGCAAATTCATATTTCACCACAGACAACGAAGGAAATCTCTTCGTTTCCAATCCTGCATACGTATCAAGCTTTGTCACAGTGTACAATCACTCCGGGCAGTCGTTATTTAAATTTGGAGGCTTCGGAAGAGCCGAGGGCCAGCTGGCTTATCCCCGAAGTATTGGTATTGACAGCTCGGGTTCCATCCTCATAGCTAACCAAGGAAACAATCGGGTAGACATGTTCACCAGGCATGGCAAATTTGTCCGCACGGTCGTCAATGTGACAAGGCCAACTGGTCTGGCTGTTGGACCGAACGGGGATTTGGTGGTGACCTCGGGAAACTGGTGCAACATGGTAGCTATCTTTCCTCATGAGATGGTATATCCGTGATCATCGTTGGGAGGGTTAATCTCCAAGCAGATCTTTCGGTGGCAAGACAGTATCCATTGGCCAGAGGAGTGTCCATTAGCTAATGGATACAGGATGGCCGATGGATACTGTCTTTTGCCACCCAACCGAAAGATCTGCTTGGAGATTAGTGAGGGTTTCCTTCAGAATGTGCTATAACTAGGACTTTGGAGGTCATGAGGACTCATGATGTTTGATGAGTTTTATATTTCATGCATGAGTGTTCGTTCCTAATAAAGACCAATAACAATGGGTTAGAGAAAAGGTGTGTTAAAGACTGTAAGGTCACAGCATAATATTATGTATCATAATATTACGTATTTACCCATTAATAAATTTTCTCATTAATTATAAAAATTGGATAGCGATTTGCATTATTTACATCTAATCATATCAATCATTACATCAGCTATCTACATTTCAAAAACCATAATATATCAACGACGCATTCCTTAGTACATTACAGAAACCCCTGTACAAGCCCTAGAATTCTTGCAGACTGCTCATATAGTATATATAGAATACAACACGTGGTATTCCGTATCGCCCGAGGTATCGCCCCGACCGCGGGAGGGCCGGGACCGAGGGCGATGCGGAATACACCGTGTTGTATTTTATTTATGTCATACCCACCCAAGAACACACGCCTTTCAATGCCACTATATAAAACCCTAAAATGCAACTGCTTACAACATTCTGTATTCGAATTTTCGAAAGGGGCACACGCGGTTAGGGCGAAACGCGTTCGAATCGTTTTATGGAAGCCATGGAAGCGTTCGATAACGGGTTCCGGACAGGGCCGTACCGTAAAGTACGGCCCGGTCCGGAACCCGTTATCAAACGTTATCGCGGCCCGGGTACGGTATGATATAAACTATTAGATTCGCCCCTGAGGCGTCGCCAAAAATTGAGACAACCTTATTCTTTCCAAATATACCTTTTTTGTAACATCCACGTGGCTGATGCTAGCGCATCACGTGTGGTTTGAGCTAATTTGTGACATATTTTACGTGTTTGTTCTTCTATGAAGCTGTGAGTAGTTTTCCACAAACCCGTTACATCTGCTTGGAGATTTAATAGATCTTGGGAACGAGAGTGTAAAGTCAGCTGCGAAGTTTGACCCTGCCCTGAGGACGAGAGCGGTGTGTCAGCTGTGAAGTTTGCACCAGTTTACGTTTGCACGTCGATCGCCGATACCAAAGCGAGATTTTTAAACTTTAACGGTCAGTAACAACAGTATGTGGAAGGTGAGTTGGTCTTTAAGGTTCTGTTGGTGTGTAGACGCTAATTATAAGGTTTTATACGGTCATAGAAGGCTTGCGGTGCATGGTAGTTGGAGGGGGGCGGTACCAAGAAAAAACTTTGTAACTAGTTGCCAAAGGCTATATTTGACAGTGCAAAAGTGACGTTTTAAGTGCTACCAACTGACGTGTCTGACGGGTCCGGTCCTGGCCCTTTTGGCCTAGCGGTTATGGTGTTGGGGTCGCAAGATACAGCGGTCCGGGTTCTGTTCCTGGGAGCCCCATATTTGTTGCAACAGGCTAGAAGATTTTTTCCTACACTAATATTGACAGGCTAAGAAAGTAATTGAGTTCTCTTCCTTAATGTTTATATAATGTTCTCTTCTTCTTTCTGTGAGGCGACCGCCTTCATCTAGTCGAAGATTCTGTTGCCATATATGTTTTGGGGTTACTGTGCAATATGTAATATTAAAAGGAGAAGGAGTTACTAGTATAACTTGTAGGGGGCCTGCATGGGGGGTCCCGACAACGCTCTACACTGAATTCGGAAACTTCTCGATTACACTTTACAATAAATTCCAAGTGTCTACAAGTACAACACATTACGTAGAATGAAATCGGCGAATACGCTCTACGCAAAGTGCGGCAATTACGCTCTACGTTGAATTAGAGCGGTCCGTGTATGCTCTACGTAGAATTGAAACGGCCGATTGCGCTCTACGGAAAAGGGCATGCCGGCCACCCTCCAAGGTGGATCAGAGGGCCATGTCCGATTCCATTCCTGGATTGTACGTGGGAAGACTGACTGTTGTCTGTAGAGAGTTCTGCACTTTGGTAGCAGGTACACTGCAGAGTGAGTAAGGCAAGCACGTCGGCAGAACGTACTGTACCTGCGCGAAATCAGTAATATATTGTGCATAGCACTTTGGCAGAATGTCCCATATAAGGTTGTATTCGCGCATATAAGGTTAACACTCCGTCTGTAGTTTCCAAATGTTATGTCGGAAATAATATCGTCTGCAACAAGCAAAATTCTAATGCATCGTTGACCAAAAATCCAACGAAAACTGTGAAAAATTGGGATTCTGCGCAGGCGCAGTACGTTCTGCCAACCTGCTGGTAAGGCATTGTGTTTATATTTCCAGGTCTGTGCATCAGTGCTAAGGTCCAGTGTGCAGGGCTACAATAATCGGAGAGTCCTTCCCCTGTTGAGTCGACATCTGTCGTCTGCTACCCCCGGTGCTACTGAGCCTGGGCTGACTGTGTCGTCCCAACATGCAGGCATCAGGACTATCACTCTCAACAACCCAAGGAAAAGGTAAGGTTTGACTAGATATTGTTTGTTTGTTAGTAATGTTACCTCCATGAAAAATGGAGGTATTGTTTTTGGCGTGTCTGTCTGTATGTGTCTGTCTGTGTGTGTTTCCGCAACTTTGTGGTCAGCATAACTTCAGAATGCCTTTATGGATTGTGATGATATTTGGTATGTTGGTAAGGCTTGGAAAGACAAAGGTCAAGGTCAAATATGGGCCTCCTGGTGGATGACCTTGGTACTGCAGCAGAATTTCTGTTTTTTGTATCTTTTATCCTGAACATGCTATGGTCTTTACTGTTTGGCTTTTCCTGTCAGGAATAAGTGTTGTGAGTTTGGTCCTCCTAGCAGCTTGTTCTGGTTTCTTTATATTTACCCAGAGTGGCTCATCTCAATATCATGGGGCAGTCAGTACGATTACCTTTGACTCATGGTTAAATACACTGAAATAAGGGTATAGAATTTTCTTCTTACACAACCAGTAAGGTTCTCATCACCTGCTTACGTGGGGGATACACTGAAATAAGTCCTCATGAAACTTCTTCTCCAAACAAACAAGTCAATGACCAGGACCAGAAGTCTGTCACCATGGTAACTGGTGTTGGGTTACATCATGTTGCAAGTGCCGTGCAGAACTACTAGTAAGTTCAAGAGGGGCTGCATGGTCACAATATACATCTAACGTTATATGAGTGTGTTTGAGTAAGAATAAAAGCAGTAGTTTGTTTGTTAAGCTGGGCCATGTGAGATAACATGATGCATTTGCTTTGCAATGCAAATGTTATCTTTCTAGTTATAAAGTACGTCTGTTGCAGGAATGCCCTCTCCCTGGCCATGCTGGAGAGTCTGAGGAGGGACCTGTTGACAGGAGGGAGTCAGGATGACCTGCAGGTCATCATCATCGCTGCTGAAGGACCCGTGTTTTCTGCTGGCCACGACCTCAATGAACTGGTAGGGATTTGTGTGTGTTTTCGAGGGTTAGGAGCTACCCCACCAATATACTAGAAGAGAAGCTGTCAATAAACAGAATTCCAAGTACACAATGAAATGTTTTAAAAGTATTTCACTGAATTCATACTTATAGCCTGGGTACCATTTGATTTGTAACGGCAACCCCGTCTTGGGGTGCAGAAAAGGGATAGCATGGTAGCCTTGTGGCCTGGTTTGTAGACAGCCTTTATTTTCTGTAAACCCAAACTGGTACATTGAGACTACTCTCCAAGCAGAGGTTGTGGGGGAATGATCGTTACCTTTTTATATATGGCTTTTTTTTTGTCCTGATCCCCACCACCCGTCTGTGGCTAATGGAGCTTCTCTGGCTAATGGATACTGCCTGGCCAATTTGATACTGTCTTTTTGCACCGAGAGGGATCTGCTTGGAGATTACATTGAGACGATACAACTTAAAATGTATCTAAACATTCAAAGGAGTAGCCATACCTACACAACTAAAACTGCCAATGGGCTTATCTATTGGTTCATTTCTGATTTCATTATCTTAAGTACCACTGTATTGGCTGAGTGTTACTGTTAGCAAATGCTCTACTCTTTTGCAACTTATGTGTTGTTTTTATCCTGTAGTCCCCAGCACATAGCAGAGAAAAGCACACTGAAATCTTTGATGCCTGCACCAGAGTCATGACACTTGTACAGGTGAGACAAATTGGACACTTTTTTTTAAAGAACACTTTATACATTTTAGTTATAACAAGCATCTATAATTCATTTTGAAGGCACTTTATAACATCTGTGTTTTCCCTTTTACAGGACTTACCAGTCCCTGTCATTGCAAAAGTCCAAGGTACTTGTACATACATTTATTTCAGTATGATTATTAGTTCCACATAATATTTTGGACGAGTACACAATAAATGGCAAAGTTCTTTATTCAAAACTCCTAGATAAACAAGTAGTTGTGAATTAAAAGGACTTTTCTTTTCAATCATTCACCAACCAGATGAAATTATTGATGGAGGGAGCTATTTCCGGAGACCGTGGATTGTTCAACTCCACGGCCGTGGAATTGACCACTTTTAGTAATCACCGTCCGGCCGTGGAATTGACCACTTTTCGTGCCGTGGAGTTGAACAATCCACGGTCTCTGGATATACCTGATGGAGGAGTATATAATGTAATTGACTTGGTAAGGCTTCTTAAGAAATCAATTGAGGGGTGAACTAGGAAGAATTGAGGGAAGCCATCCTTGAGTCCAATTCAAAAATTTCCTGTGGCCTTATTCAGGGTGAGTGACCCACTACCAGAGTCACATGAATCCAAAGAAAGAATTCATTACAAGGACCAATCACAATAGATGTTCCTTATTGGACAACCAATCACAGCGCAGGGTATGATTCTCACATCTGCCAATCACAATGAGTCATCATTTCTAATATGAGTACTGATATGCCATTGGCCCTCTGGTTGATAAGATAGACTTACACAGTTACACCTTATGATTGGCCCTTATCATGGATTCTTACTTTGGATTCATGGTCATGACATGCAGCTCTAGAAGTGCCTTACATATGCAGGTGCCAGGAAATCTGTACACACAAGTTTTGGTCCATGTCTTCAGGTCTGGCTACAGCTGCTGGATGCCAGTTGGTGGCCAGCTGCGATATTGTGGTGGCTTCAGACACAGCACAGTTTGCTACACCTGGGTAACACATTGCCTTTTCTTCCACACACAATTCATTTTCCTTTATGTAATTACTTCCAGGTATGGAAGTATTGTTTTGGGTAGGTTGGCTGCATGTTTGTGTATATGTTTGTATGGACAGAGTTGACAGCATGTGGGTAGGTGCAGATTGACAGGCAGCATAACAGGAGGTCACAGGCTCAGGAAATTTGGTGAATTTGAAGGTCAGATTCTGAAATGTACATATTTGATATTTAATGATATTTTCTTGTGATTCCTGCTATGTAAATAATATCTTCTTCTGATTGTTCAGGGTGAAAGTTGGACTGTTCTGTAGCACCCCTGCTGTAGCTTTGGGACGGGCAGTGCCCAGGAAGGTTGCCATGGAGATGCTCTTTACTGGACAACCAATCACAGCACAGGGTATGATGCTCACATCTGTCAATCACAATGAGTCAAGACATGCCATTGGCTCCCTTTCAAGTTGATTATAGTTCCACCTTGTGATTGGCTATTATCATGGAAGGCTATTGATGTGGTTTATGGTGATCCTGATATGTGTGATATGTAATGTTATACTATTTTCTTGTTATCCACAGATGCACTGCTACATGGCCTTGTGAGTAAGGTGGTACCGGAATCAAAGTTGGACGAAGAGGTGATGGCATGGCTTTTTGAACTCTTAAAATTGCTTTTAATCTAATGGTCAAGGTGGTCGTCTGGTTAGGGTTGTTGGCATAGAATCTAAAGGTTCTGGGTTCAAATCCCTACCAGGCCCCCAATGTTCTGTCTTTGGAAAATGCTTGTTACACCTAATTTTTCACATAATTTAGGTGAAAATGAGTTGTACCTAGCTTCAGTAAGGGACATCGTCTTTGATGCCACATAAAGTGGAGGTCCCGTGTTTGAAGAGAGCCATGATGTTAAAGAACCCACCACACTTATTACTTACTTAGAGGTCCATCCTGGTGTGAGTGGATCAAACATAAAAGTCTAGTCTTATGGAGCTTGTACTAATACTGTACAAAGCAGGTGTGTTATGACTAAAGGTGGTTTACCTTGTTATTCAAAACAACTAAACTCTTTTTCTTCTTCTTCAGACCCATAGATTGGCCCAACAAATTTGCACCACAAGTAGATCAGTGACGGCCATAGGTAAAGCCTGCTTCTACAGCCAGATAACCAAGTCCAGGGATGAAGCTTACAGGTAGGGAGACTAAACATGTCAGCAGAACGTACTGCACCGTCTGCACCTGTGTGTAACCAGGATTTTTGACGTTTTTTGTCGGATGTTTGGTCAATGTGAGAATTCTGTCCATTGAAGACAATATCTTTTCCAACATTACATTTGAAAACTAGAATAAAGAATGGTTCAAACAAAGAAACAAACAAACAAACACAAACAAACTATCTCTACCATTGAACGCCTCGTACACCAGCGACCTACGGCTTCTCTCCTACTCCAAGGATCAGCAGACCATGACCTTGTCACTAACAAGCAACTTCTAGATGCACTCAACATGTACATTACATCTACCAAAAGATTTACTTCCAGCTGAGCCACTGTTCCTTTTTAACAGATACATGTATGTTTAGCCCTAATGTTTATCGATTTAATTCTAGTTACCCTAGTATTTCTTATATCTAATTTTTTATTGTAACTTGATCGACAATGTACTTATGTATGTGTCTATTGTGTATATTTGTGTATGATGTCGCAATATCAGCTATCAGCTGCCTGGCGGCAACATTGTGTTGCCATGTTGCAATTTCAAATAAATAAATAAAAAACAAACTATCTATTAGGGGTATGTTAAACATTTACTCCACGGATCCTAATGTACATAATTATATCTGATCTCCACATATTAGGGAAGCAGGAGAGGTGATGGTGAACAACCTACAGACAGAAGACGGACGTGAGGGCATCAGTGCGTTCTTGGAGAAGAGGAAACCCACCTGGTCACACCGGTGAGGCGATCAGGACTGACCAGTGGTCTGTGGTCACTCCTCAACAGGACAAGTGGTCATCAAGCATGGCCTGGGCACTGAGCAAATCAGTGGTCTCATCAAGGCATAATTTTAAGCATTTTTGTATTTGATATGCCAAATATGTCTGTTAACAAAGAGATTCTGCCCAAAATGGTTGAATAACGGTTATATAATAGCCCGGTCCAGCAAGTGTCATTCAGCTAAACATGGCCCCAATATACATTTAACATAAGCTATCTGATATGATATGACATCCGTACGTATTTTAATTTATATCATACCCGGGCCGCGATAACGTTCGATAACGGGTTCCGGACCGGGCCGTACTTTACGGTACGGCCCGGTCCGGAACCCGTTATCGAACGCTTCCCTGGCTTCCATAAAACGATTCGAACGCGTTTCGCCCTAACCGCGTGTGCCCCTTTCGAAAATTCGAATACAGAATCCGCACGTTGGAATTGATGTTGTTGCAGTTTAGGGTTCAGTTTAGGGTTCAGTGGCACCAACTTTTGGCTCATCTCGCATTGAAAGTCGCGTTTTCTTGGGTGGGTATGACATAAATGAAATACAACACGGTGTATTCCGCATCACCCTCGGTCCCAGCCCTCCCGCGGATCGGATCTCCCTCCGGCCTTCGGGCGATCCGACGCACGGTCGGGCTGGTACCTCGGGCGATACGGAATACACCGTGTTGTATTCTATATATATCTGATCTCCACACATTAGGGAAGCAGGAGAGGTGATGGTGGACAACCTACAGACAGAAGACGGACGTGAGGGCATCAGTGCCTTCTTGGAGAAGAGGAAACCCACCTGGTCACACCGGTGAGATGGTCAGGACTGACCAGTGGTCTGTGGTCACTCTTCAACAGGACAAGTGGTCATCAAGCATGGCCTGGTCACTGAGCAAATCGGTGGTCTCATCAAGGCATAATTTCAATCATTTCATATTTGATACGCCAAATGTGTGTGTTAACAAAGAGATTCTGCCCAAAATGGTCGAATAGCGGTTATATAATAGCCCGGTCCAGCAAGTGTCATTCAGCTAAACATGGCCCCAATATACACGTAGCAGAAGCTATCTGCTAAAATATGACAGCTGTACATATTCTAACATATGTCGTAAGAAGACTGCACTACATGTAGCTTTATTCAATAAATGACTTGACAAATGTGCAATGATAATTGTAATGATAGAAATATGTGAAAAGTTTCTAAAAATCAAGAGGTCACTACACAATTTGCCTGAAGAAGATTTTTACTCTACATGTAACGTTATATGGTTTCCCCACACCTTGCTAATGGAGTGTGTATGTTGAAAGTATTCAGAGGAAAGCTAACAAATACGGGATTTCTATGAATTACATGTATTATCAATGTATTACAATCAAAGGTAATTATATTTACTAGATTATTAAATTGTATTTTTGTCGCAATTCATAAAGAGGTCTTTAATTTTTCATGATGTTAACGTTACAACATAAGCAGTTCGCCAATAATAAAATTGCCATTATGTTGAAATTCTAGATCTGTGGAGTCATTCTGTGCATCCTTTGTTGTTTCTTAAGGGTTTCCTTTGACAATTTTTTTTCAAAGCAGTGTTTGTCTATTAATTTACCCAAGGACATTATAATGTCCTTGATTTACCCAACGCCTAGTCATATAGATCTGGTGCCTTATCCTCCTACTAAATATTATTTCCAACGGCTGACGTATACTACTAGCTTTCCTAATGACGTCACGTCATATTTGCATGTCTAATAAGGGCGGCGGCCATGTTGGATTCCCATGCACGCTGAGTTTAACCACCCAAAGTAACAAGCAGTTTAAGCGTTCTAAATTCCCTAGAAAGGGTACCGCGAATTGCAATCCAGCATCGCCGTGGTCTAGCCAGCCAGACTGGCTCAAAAAGTCTGCGGGAGTTAACCAATTCATGCAAGTTGGAAGCAAATTCTCGACAAAGTAAGCTGTTTTCTGGACGGAATATGTCGAGAGAAGGGGGAAACCTCAGCCAGAACTACAAACTGGTGGTCGTCGGTGGCGGAGGCGTCGGAAAAAGTGCCCTTACCATTCAGTTTATTCAGGTTTGTGCTCCAACTTCGCTAGTTTCTGTCGCGAACTTGCTTGCAAAAATTGAGAGCCGAAGACAACTCTTGTTTACCGTTACAAATAATTATATCCTAACTTTTTTATGCAAGGCCCAAGCTTCAGAAATAGCACGTTTGTCTACTGATACAGTAGTCTAAATATTCATAGCCTAATCTACTATCAAATCTTGTCTCTAACATTGTTATGTCAAAATTCTTGACAAAGATCGTTGTTTCCGAACGTATCGAGGCTTGAGTATGAATAACTTCCTGTAACATCTTGGGACATTTCCACGTCTTGGTATGTAGGGGGAGGGGGGCTGTGGGTTAATCTCATCATGTAGAAACATTCAATCAGCCAATCAACGTCAATTATGATGTTTTGAAAGGTAACTGTCGACACCAAACAATTTTATATAGTGACAACGTGCATGTTGTAGCCTTTAGAAGGGGTGTGGCGTAAGGGGGGGGGGGCACATATGGCATAAAAGAAAATATATCTGGATATACTAGTTATAGAATTCCAAAATTATGCCTTTCTCATTGCCATTGTCACGAATGTATTTGTGCTAAACGTTGTTTTTTGTGATGTCTGTTCCTCTTTTTTATTTGCGTGAAATCTGGGTTGAAAATGCGGCTTTGTTTGAAAGGAAGGGAGGTTGTTGACAAATATTTTTGGGAAGCAGAACAGCTATATAGCTAATCTAAGGGTTATTGAACTTAGGTGTGTAGAAATACATGCACTTCCTGCTAGCTCAAACCTAGCCACCCTGTCTTGTCATGCTGTGACCTTCCAAGTAACACCCAGGACGCCGGTGAATTTGCGTACTTAGAACAACCCGCGAGTTGTTTATTGTTTGTCTCTTTGTTTACTTATGGTGGGGTGGGCTTCTGGCAGTGACGCTACACACAGAAATGTGGATTAATGATAATAAGTTGATATCTTAAAAAATCTTCAATTTGAAATGCAATTTAAAATCAATCACATAAGTCCTAGAATGCCCATAAAAATATAATTTATTTGGAACAACCAATGGCCACTAGTAGTACTTTTGTTATCTTGCTTACTTCACATCTCTAATTTTTAGTGAATAACTCATAATCTCAATCAAGACTGTGGCACAAAATGTATATGATTCAGTTTTAATTCAGCTTTAGAATAAGTCCCAGGTTATATATATTAAAACTCAACTATTCAGAACAAATTACTATTTATTTATATTTGTTAAATTTTTAACTTGCCATCTTTATCATATTGGTAGTGGAATCACAAACAAGAAGAAGGAATATCTCCAAATAATGATTCAGTTTATAATTCAGTTTATAATATAATACAGTAGCAGTAGACCTATTATTGAAAGTTCTTGGAAACCATTAAAATGTATGTGGCTATTCAAGGTAAGGTAGACTCAGGTCAACTCACAGTACTTGTAGTGGTAGGTGTTTATATTTGTTAGATAATATAATTGTTTACCTGGCATTGCTGGTAGTCCAATCACAAACAAGAATGTCGAATATCCAAAAAAATTATAAAGTTATAATGCAGTATTCTTACAGAAAGTCCTAAGATTCAATACAGGGAAGCATTAAATTAATCATTAAAAATGTATGTGGCCATTCAGACCAGCAATACTGGTAGTTGTTTATATTTTGTGTTAGATTGTTTACCTAGCATGTAGTGGACGTCCCACAAACAAGAATGTGGAATATCTAAAGAACAATAAATTTATGATACAGTATCCTTACAGAAAGTCCTAGGATTCAAAACAGGCAAGGCATTAAAATGTATGTGGCCATTCAGACCAGCAATACTGGTAGTTGTTTATATTTTGTGTTAGATTGTTTACCTAGCATGTAGTGGACGTCCCACAAACAAGAATGTGGAATATCTAAAGAACAATAGATTTAAAATACAGTATCCTTATAAAGTCCTAGGATTCAATACAAGGAAGCCCATTAAAATGTATGTGGCCATTCAGACCAACTGAATGTGAATAGTGGTGGTTGTTTATATTTTGTGTTAGGTTTACCTAGCATGTAGTGGACGTCCCACAAACAAGAATGTGGAATATCTAAAGAACAATAGATTTAAAATACAGTATCCTTATAAAGTCCTAGGATTCAATACAAGGAAGCCCATTAAAATGTATGTGGCCATTCAGACCAACTGAATGTGAATAGTGGTGGTTGTTTATATTTTGTGTTAGGTTTACCTAGCATGTACTGGACATCCCACAAACAAGAATGTGGAATATCCGTGCCATGGTGAGTTGTTAATGCAGTGGAACATGTGGGTGGGCCGTGGAATGTCAGGAATGGGAGGAATAAAATCTGCATATCAGACTATCAGTCACCCCTGGGTGAATCATAGGTACAGTCTGGACGTGTGGGCACACTCAAGACAACACATCCTTACAGACACTAGGCCATGCTGATTGGATTATAGGGATAACATCCTCTGGGAACCCCAAAACTGATGCGAGCATGCGAAAAAAAAAAAGTCTGTCAAAAATTATCGCCTTCATTGTGAGTTTCAGAAATCTACATGGTCATGAAGGTTGAACAAATGACACACAGTATGGTATGGCGAATAATCTACTCTTCAAATTCATTTCTTTACATTTTCGTCTTTTTCGTTTGGTTTTGGTGTGGGCAGACTCAAGACAACACATCCTTACAGACATTAGGCCTTGCTGATTGGATTATAGGGATAACATCCTCTGGGAACCCCAAAACTGATGCGAGCTTGCAAATAAAAATTAATTTTATCATTTTGTGTTTCAAAGTCTCCTAAGGCCATGTTGATTTGATTATATGTATGACATCCTTTGGGAACCCCAAAACTGATGAGTAAAAGATAAATAAAGGTTGGCAAAAAAAAGTTGCCTTCATTATGAAATCTATGTGGTCATGAAGGTTGAACAAATGACTAAACACACAGAGCAGAGTGATATTTTATTGGCATGGTGACTTATAGACTCTTCATTTACAGACTAACATACTACAGATCTGGCTATTGCCCTGTTGTTGCACATACTTGTATACAGACCTACCTGTTCCTTAGATGGAATCTAGTGTGATGTTTATTTAGATATGGGTCATAAACAAGTTATGAATGAAAGATTGCTGTGAGAGCCCCACCCTGTGTTTTATAGTGGTAGGTCCATACAGATCAATAAATCAATCAACAGTTATCCAATAGCTAAACAGCCAATTAGTCAACAGTGGACAAACCAAGCAATCTACCTGTCAATCAAACTGTCAAATTTGAATATTTATTTTTTGAAACCATAATTCAGGGCATATGGCTTTCATGTTCTACTTCTAGACTAATATTGTTTTGGGGTATAAAAGTTTTGCTTTCTTGTTGTTAACCTTTAGGACACTGAAGTTGTCATTTGGCTACCAATTTTTCTATTATAGTGGTTTGGGGGTTAGGCAGCTGGGTATATCCTTTTACCTGGAGAATTTTGCAGAGATAACTGAGTTTTAGTCCAGATTTTTTCCATAGACCCTATGCACAAATTACCTTTGACCTTGCCTTGACCAGCCAGTCTGAAATGTGTTACATTTTTGCCTCCCCATGTTGGGAATTGTAGCCATAGCTGGTGTGTTACAATAACATGTATGACATAACAACCATAAAATATACGTGCCTGAGCCATATCAACTACCCAGACATCAGAGAGATAGTGTTCCTCGGATAATAGCGCTATTCTGCCAACTATCACAAGTCTAAAGATACATGTGTGTCTAAAGATGCGACCGTAACCCCAGAATAGAATACCGTAAATTCATTTACTTCTGTGGTGGTCAAATTTCGCAATAGGAGGGGTATGTACACAGTATTTGCAGCAAAACAATTCCATATTACTATTAGTAATTCATAGGAAATGCATATTCGTGGTGTCATAAATTCATGTCAGTCATGGTAGAGATCTCTGGGAAAATAAAAAAAAACTATGGCGAAAGTTTCAAGATTTCCAGTATGTATCTTGCCAGTACAGGGCAAGGTTAGTACTTAACCTTCAAAATTATGTCTGTCTCTACCAGATTAACTGATACAAATTTCGTGCCAAAAGGCTAAATCAGCCTTCAGGAAAAAGGTTATGAATAAATTGTCGACTCATTGCAGATTTGCTGAATATTTGTTTTTGTCATTTTGTAACTGTTAGAGTCAATTCCGCGTCACCGAGTGGGTTGTTATTGTCATTATTTAGAAATGTTTTGAATTCTTTGTAATTGTTTGTCTAAGAAATTTCATAATTTGGAAATATTTTGAACATCTTGTCAATATTCTAAATAATTCCCTGGTTTTCTAAAACGTTTGAAATATTCCTGATGTGGATTATGACATTTCCAATAGTTTCTAAATATTTCTAACAGCACTCTACCATTTTTTTACCATTATTTCGAATTATTTCTAACATTTTGTAAATAGGTCAGTGGGATGGGAAGGAAGTAATTCACACCTCCCTGTGGAGTACAGGGTAGACTGCCTGGGTGTCAGGCATTGATGCCTTATAACAAAAGAGCCACCAGTGTCCAGCAGTGAAATCTAAAAATATACAGAGGAAGACAGAAGAGTAGGATTAGCACCTACTTTTATGGGGGCAATTACCCACATCTACCATTTGGTTATTTGTTTGAAATAGTTCTAAATATTTCGAATTGTGAAAGAAACACATGGGTAGTTCAAATTTATTCTAAAGAAAGAGATCTTTGTACAGTCACATTCAAAATGTTTCAGAAATATATAAATGAATTCAAATATATTCAAATTTTCATTTTCAAATTTTTGAAAAATTTAGAACTTTTGTTACTGGGGTATTCTTTTCTTCTAAATAATTCAAACGTATTAGAAACATGGAGAAAAAACCCACTCGGTGACGCGGAATGGACTCTAGAATATATGTATTTTGTAATTCAGGGCTACAAATTCATTTTTGGGAATAGCTGCACTGGTGCCCCCAACCTAAAAAATTGGACAAAAATATTTTGTGTGCACCATGTAAGTAAGATGAAATAAGTAGAATGCCAGTACAATGTTTTTCTGGCTACAGTAATACTTTGTGATTTTGAATCTGACCCTATAATACTACTGATTACTAACTAAGGCCACACCAATTTAATTTCTTGGTTAACGGATTCGCCGCTTCGTTTTTTTCTGATTTGCAAATAAAAATAAAAATCCAGAATCAACTGCAAAATGCTCATATTGTGCCCTGAACAGTTGAAAACAGTCCTTTTCATCCTAGTTGTCACAGTTATTCCATCTTTCAATGCAATGGTATCATTAAAAGTTCAAAATTCATTGTTTAAATTTTGAACCAGCCTGGTGTGTTGACTTCATGGCTCCTATCGTACCATTTTGGGCAACAATAGGATGCCTAGGCCTGTTTTTGTTTTTATTTCTTTTCGCCCGCCCGCTCCATTATTTTTCTAGAAAAATCCGTTAACCAAGAAATTAAATTGGTGTGACCTAAGCTCACAGTGCCCGTCACAGCCTTTGACATGTTTTACTATTTTGTTACAGTCCTACTTTGTGACAGATTATGACCCTACAATAGAAGACTCCTACACAAAGCAGTGTGTTATAGATGATGAGGTGGCCAGATTAGACAGTAAGTTAATTTTTTTTATCCTTCGGCTTGTCTCGTCTTTATAAAAATTATTTGTTTTTCATAGCTGTAGAAAGTTCAAGCATAGTTTATAGCAGTGATGTATTTAATTTGTAAAACTGAATGCCCTAAGAGTTATATTTTTTCCACTAACATTTGTTTTTGCATATTTTTTTCAGTTCTGGATACAGCAGGACAAGAGGTATGTTGAAGTGTTTTTATGATAATTGTTTTATGATCATAACATGATTATAGGACATGAGGAGGGCGTATGTTTTTCTGTCAGGGTTGATATCTGTCATTAGGAATTCAGTACCATGAGGAGACAGTAGGGGGCGTAGGGGGTGTTGTTACCAGGTCAGATTAATAATGAACTGTCTTACCTTCAGGAATTCAGTGCCATGAGGGAACAGTACATGAGGACAGGAGAGGGGTTTGTGCTGGTCTTCTCTGTAACAGACAGAGGCAGGTAAGGAAAGGACAACATTTTTTACTACCTTATACCATATGCTATGTTTCAAAACAAAAAAGAGAACTTTTGCTAAAGAATGTATTTGTATCAATGTTGGCATTCTTTTTGAAGGAGGATTTTTTGCACAGTAACATTTTGATATGAAATGTAACTTTTGCATAAACTAGACAGTGTATGAAGTTGTCTGTTACACAATATCTTGCTGTTAGGCTGATAAGCTATAGGCCTCTTACCTGAGAGCTTGTGGCCATACACCTCTTACTCAAGAGAACTATCCCCATTCCCAGAACTACCAATAGGAGCTCAGGGTTCTTTATGTCTATAAAAATCAGTCCAATAGGAACTCAGGATTCTCTGTCACTTTGGAAACCTGTCATTAAAGCCTTCAACACTACAGTAATAGACAGTTCTCAGTCTAACAATAATGGTCCATGTTAGCACAACCAGTCATAATACATAAAAAGGATTATGATGTTCTCAATTCTCCTGACTTAGAGGTGTTGGCCACCAAGTTTTTAGATGCCTGGCCAGTGGAAGGGCTGCTAGAAACATGATGTAGTCAGACTAGACTGTAATGGTAGCTTTATGGATTGACTTTGTTTCCCCCCAGTTTTGATGAAGTGTACAAGTTCCACCGTCAGATCCTGAGGGTGAAGGACAGAGATGAGTTCCCCATGTTACTGGTGGGCAACAAGGCAGATCTGGATCAACAGAGAGTGGTGAGAGCAAGACTGCTACTACTCACACACACTCACTATCCGTAACTACATGTATAATAACTAGCATGTGGGCAGAACGTACTACACCTGCGTGAAATTCAGATTTTTCTTGGTTTTCGTTGGATGTTGCATTATCAGAATTTTGCCTGTTGCAGATGATATCTTTTCTGACACAACATTTGACAAATAGATGTGATGTCATCCCTAAATACGACCTTAAAGAAAACGTTCTGCTGAAGTGCTACATTACAGTGTACAATACATGACAGGTTTCATGCAGGTGCAGTACATTCTGCTAACATGCTACAATGTACTATAGCTGCATGTGAATCTTTGTACACTACCAGGACCGTAAAATTTAACGATTTACGCTGTTACACAAACAAACGCACGGCGTGTACACGTTCGTACACACACCGTGTGCACATTTGGGGCGGAGTCCAGATCAGCGGGGAGTCAGCTCATTATCACTGGGATACCGATAATGAGCCGCTGGTCTGCACGGTAAAGAAATAATTACGTTTGATTTTACGACAGTTGTATACCGGTCACGTCAGCGCGCAATGTCGCGATATTGTGTGTCCATTACGATATGTACGAATAGAATCCTATATCTACCGGTCAGCTGCGGGCGAAAGTTGCCTTTCGTTTACATTTTGGGCCAGCTGTTTTCGTATAGGAACTGTGTTATTCTTTGGAGATAATAATTAAAGTTCGTGTGCCGGCATTTATCCCGCAAACACAGCGTAATAATTTGCCGATTTCTTCTACGTCGCCATGTGCTCCCCGCGGCCCGCGCTGCCGAAACGGATTGCGTAATGCTCTATTGTACAATATTTAGCGGTGAGAATTAGTGTTTAAAAGATTTCCTAGGACCTTCCCCAAGGTCAAAAAATTTTCCAAACCCATTTAGGCCCTTCCCGGCGTGAATGATATACTAGTAAACTGGTCGAAAGATGACGTTTAAACGGCCAGCAGAAACCTCATTGATGCGGCCGGCCGGCCACGAGGCGGCGCGAGGAAACAACACAAAAATGAAAAGCCAGTGATTTGTTCGGCACGGGGCTGAATATGTGCTTACGGGGAGGAAAGTACCACGGGTTTTTTTTCATATTATATCAATCAAGTATTGAATAAACACATCATGAGTTATTGCATCCGCCAAATCGCTTTATATAAAACAGTGGTTTTCAAAAATGAAGTCAGGGTTCTTGTAGGAATGGAGTAGTAATCCTGATATTGAAAGTCAAAATTCACACACATCTCGTAGTAGAACATTTCTCCCAAGACATCACGGCGCCCCATGGCCAGTCCTGTCAAAATTGATTGATGAACTCCGACGCAACCGCCGAAAGCATGCCGAAAGGGCGGTTCGAGTTTCAGATCAAAGAAGTCGGTACAACTTTCGCTACACGCGTGCCAAGTTGTGGTCGGACATTCTGTTTTACCAAGGAGGTTGTCGGTGTACAGGAAGTTACGCTGCCAATAGAATGTTTCAGGGCTTCTATTTTATTCTACGGCGGCCACTATTAGATGCGGAATAATTTGGTAACAAAAACAAACATAGAACAAGCAGGTTAGAACTTAAAGATTTAAACACAAGGAGCTTTGATTATTTTCTACTGCAGTCTACTTTCTGTCAGTATGTGTAACCTACGTAAAGCTGCGGATATTTTTTTAATCATTCAGATTAAACCTCCTTGTGCAGATTATACTGTCTAGTACCAAGGACGTATAATGTCCTCGCTAGTACTAATTTATAGAAGAATGAATATGGACCGTTTGTGTCTGATAGTGATAGTCGGAGACGCCAAAGATCGTTTCAGTACCAGGTGTACAAGTCCGTTGCGCGTCATGTTTTCTTTTGTATCGTCGACAGCTCTCACTGAATATAACAGAACTTGTTGGAAAAGTCTCGGGGTCACAAACCCTCATTTTTATATAAGATATATTTTGACAGGTTATCAACTTTTTGTATGTTCTCTTTTATACATACAGGTGCTTAGACTAAAACTGCACGAGCGAGGGAGAATACTGCATGCACATGCCGACTTCTTCTTCCGGGAGTTTTTATATCGTTTTTGGAGCGATCATAGTTTGTCCTAACTCTAGTCTAGATTGCACATTCTTGTACCCAGTAACATATAGTGTTGAGACTGAAATGTTTGATATTTCGCTTTGTTGATTTATGGAGGTAGAAAAAAAGAGCCTCCATGGTTGATTGAATTCTGTTGACATGTGTGAATCCCCACGTTAGTAAAATTATAATTCCCAGAGTATCAAGCCGGCTAGCAAACAGTAAGTCAAAACGGAACAAAAACCAAAACAGATATTGGACAAAACAATTCTATATTGGCAAGAGCAAGGAGGTAAAATGAGATCTCCCCCGCAAGGCCTAACGGCATGGGTAGCTTTCCTCCAACTTGCTCAGACGATCGATGTCTGTGTGACTGTACAAACAAAAGGGAACATAGCATTTATATTAACAGAGGCAAGTACTAGCAACGACCTTGGTACTATATGTCGTAGTAGCCTTTTGGACACAAGTAACTAGGAAATGATACTCTAAAGAACATGCATTTTGTTCTCACGCAGGTATTTTTAATAGGAAAATATCTTTCTTCACTGCTATCCTATTTAACTAAGTGTGAAAACAAGAAAAACACGTGGAACTTTTTGTAACCTCCGCGATGAAAAAATCCGATTTGGACTCGACATTTGATGCATACCTGTAACAGCTTTTTGTTATTATTTTTCATGCGGAGCTAGGGACAGACAGTGCCAGACAGAAATGTGTATTGTAATATCGACCATGTTAAGATATTTGAGAATCGAAGTCTGTCTTCGCTTGAAGAGAAAAGAAGATTTTTCTTCACCTTCGGCAAAAGAAATCTTCGTCTGAACTAGTAAGAGAATATGTCTGTTGTTGTTACCACTAAAGTGCACCACTCTTAGAAAACCCGTAATTTATTCACTATTCTTATGCACTGTCAAACACGCGGGCGTATTGTCAAACAAAAAATAATTATCATTGTCGCCCTGATGCAAATGCAACATCCCCTTTCTTCTATTTTGTGAAAAGAAATCTGGTCTGAGAAACGACGGTTCGAAAGCTTTTTCTCGGCGTACTGTACCCGTGGCGGATACGCAAGTTGTTTAACTTGAATTCGCAGGGTCACGTTTCCCAGTTAATTTCTTTGTTACTTTGTTATCACGAATAAAAATGACGTTAACATCCGAAAATCTCCTTGGTAAAACATAGGGGGTTGCAAGAAACAAGGACGAGTTGTTTAAGCAACGTTTATGTATGTGTTTGGTTGCCCAACATTAGTTAGTCTGTAATACTAACATGACTTCTAATAACTGATTTTTTGGTAGGCGTTTCATACAAAAAACTTGAACCTCCTTGCTCGTACTATAGAAAGCACAGTCATGTATAAGTATCGAAAATAAATTACTAGAAAATTAGTCAGCATTTTTTCGTGTGTCAGAAACATTACAAAATGTTACAAACTACGTCCTGTTCTTGGATTGAATGATTGTACTAGGGCGCTACTTCAAGTATTACTAGTATACAGATCACAGCTACAGCTCATTTTTTGTTGAATGAAAATAAATGTTGTTTACACACCCGACGGATCTTACGCAATAAATTTAGAGGTAAGTAGTGTCCCCCCAAAATGTGAAAAGAGGTGATTTCAGTGGGAGCTGGCTTGTTTTTACAGGTAAGTAACATTTTTCGGCAGCTCTACTTTTTTTAAAATTACGGTATCTCACAATGAGTCATGATTTTTCTCATGTTGCGGGCCGGACTAGAGGCCGGACGCAAGCGTGAATCCAGTGTCAAGCTAGTATTATCGAGTGGAATCTGATCACCCTGTAAAACTTCTAGAATGGTGCTGCACTGCAATTCTAGAACTATTGTGTATTCGCTTGAAAGTTTTACTCGCGGCACACACAGTACACAGTCCAGAACGTGTCGAATATTCACGGCGAATATCCACGACAGGAAATAATTGGTTCATAATAGTCTGACATAGCTGTTTCAGCCTCACGGAATGAAGGACTGACGTTTCCATAGTACATTAAATATTCGTTAATTTTATGCAGAAATATCAGTGTATTGTAGATTTTTCTCGATTCTGAAATGTCACAAATCATCTGTCTTGCGATCCTGTCGTCTGCAACAAGCTGAAAACACCGCTGTATACACTCGACAAATTTCGGGATTCTTCGTAGAACCTCGATTATAGTCGGTGAAGATCGACTTTACAGCGAAGATGGACGAAACATTTTTCTCAGTGCTCATTGGCTGCTCAGATAATTGAATTATTCGGCCCGTAGGCCGATCAGACTCTGGGGCGCCGACGGCTGCCGGCGGCAACTTTTTCAAAGGGAACCGCCTGTCAATCAAGTACATGCAGCCGTGGGAATAGTGAACGCCTAAACTGAAAAGACTTGGCCACCTGGGCCAAAGCATGGACGTAAAAATCACAGGCGTATCACGTAATCTACAAGCTCTGTTTTATTCAGGAACAAACAGTGTCAAACCCCGCTATTTTTTTTGTCACAGCGCTCATGATCAAATCGTAGCTTCAGCATAGCAGTTGCAGAAAATTTTTATAACGCCGCTGACTTCGACTCGCTAGGCACGGTCATTGACCTTTCTTTGTGGCGTACGTTTTTGTGGCAAAATGTCTGCCAGTTTTTCTGTCGGCTTTTGTTTAATTCTCAACCTTGAAGCAATCATTCTCTAAGTTCCAACACCACGCAACTATCATTTCTTCCAGCTAGTCGTTTCCAACAACTTCCAACAAGTTGTTTGCGCTTGAATCTGAATAAACTCGGCTCCACGGCTTGTAGCCGCTGCGCTACTAATCCCATGTATTATCCACAAATTGTCAACAGATACATGAAAATAACTTAAAAGAAGTATCATGGTAATTTTAGAATACAAATGCTGATAGGGAAATTATTGCTATAAAAGCGAAACCACGCCCTATAAGCTCATTTACTGCACGTACTCTGTCTGTGTTCAGTATCTCACCGTAAATACGCCGTGCGCACGGAGTGTGCACGCCGTGTGGGCGAAGGACTCGTTGCTTCTTTGAATGATTTGTTGATGTTTGGGAGGCTGATATGCATTTTTTTTAGATATTGAGACTTTGGCATAAATTGTAAACGTGGTAAGACACATACAGGTATTATCAGAACTTCAGTGTCTGACACACGAATACAACTACCAAAGCGGCTGCTGCTTTTTCTTCCCTCCGCAGGCGTGGTACAGTAAATGTGTATTATCAAAGGCGCGGGAGACGTTCATGAGAACGTGCGCCCGGTGGGAGGGACTTCGTACATCATCGCTCGCTCAAATATGGTCGATGAAAGGAAGCAGAATCGCACTTCCTGCTCAAAATAATCATGTAGACTGTGTTACTGGGCAATCTAGTTGTTTTGGATGGTACTTGTATTTTGTTGTTAGCTTCATATGAAAGGATTCTACACGGTATTTACGTCATCTCTGCCAAAATAAAACACTGCGCATGCGGCGCAGTTGCCTTGGCGCGGCGATGCGTTGTTGTTTTTTTTGCCGTAAATCGTGCTGTTTCATGAATATTCTCATGAATATTCCGTGTACACGGTGCCTGAAACATGAATATTCTGAATATTCCCCGCCCTACTGGCCCCCAAAATCCCGCCCACCCCAAACGTAAACACGCCGAACACACGATCGTGCATTCGCCGTGTACGTGTACACGCTACCGAAAAGTTCGTTAAATTTTACGGTCCTGGTAGTGTATATATGTACATAGGAAATATGTGTACTGTACATTATAGTGGTTCAACCAATGAGAGAATGGCAATTAAGGGTTCAACCAATGAGAAATTGGCTTCATGTCCATGAAGTATTTGCATTTTTATGGTTCTATTTTCCATTGTCTATATTTTGACAATGGTGTGTGGGTGGGGCCATGGAATTAGTCTATTGGTTTAAGTTCTCTAACTAGGTATCTATCTATGTATCTGCTGACCAGGTTATTGACCATGTGTTCACTACATGTAGGTTACTCAAGAGGAGGGTCAGGAGTTGGCCAGGCAGCTGAGGGTGGGATATCTGGAGGCCAGCGCCAAGACCCGCTTGAACGTAGACCAAGCATTCCACGAACTTGTTAGAATAGTCAGGTAAGGTTTTCACCATTTCTCTTAACATCACTGTTTTGAGTTTGATGCCTGAGTGATGAAACATACAATCCTCGTGCAAGTTTTACTTTCTTAAAGTAAACTGTATTATATAAGTTGGATCACTAGAGATTGCCAAAGTCCAACAAAAAAAAAAAGGAAAGAAAAAGATAATCCCTACCGACCCTAATTTTTTCAGGACCGAAACAGGAAACAGAATATATTTTTTTCGTAGGCCTTACCAAAATTATTCACGGATTTCTGATGTGTTGTTTTCATCCCTTAGGAAATTCCGAGCGGAGGAATGTCCACCCGTAGACGAAACCAAGCAAAAGAAGCGCAGGAGATGTACCATCTTGTGAGACCGGCAACCTGCCTCGCTCACACCCTACAAGTACATAGTGTATCCATAAAGAAAAAATCTGACTTTTTTAAAAATATGCAGATATTATGACGCTAACATCAGGTAAAAAAAACCTTTTAACTAATCGTAAGAGAATAACTAGGGACGTTAGACAGTTATAGCCATTTTAATAAATATCTTTTAGATTTTTAAAAAGTTATTGGAAGAGCAAAGCAGGCAGTGACCTAAGTTACCATTCAAACTTGTTTGATGATATGTGTGTAAACAATGGTTTAACTTCTAATATTGTTCATGTACTGTATTATGTTTCTGTTTTGGGTTTTGGTATGTGTGCAACGTTCAGATTAATAATAAGTATTTTTAGGTCTTGAAAAACAAGCAAAACTTTTTGCATTCTAAAGATTTTTGCTCTCCATACACAAACTACTGATTTTACATAAAAATATCTTATAACACAACTCATATTTGGCAATGTAAGTTAACAGAAGAAGTAACATAAACATTTTACTCACCGACACTTGGTACTGTAAATCTTAAAATGTTCACGGTGGTCTTATTTTTGCATTTTTCGTGGTGATCTCTTACCACAAAACTGTTACACTGCAAATGTGTGTGTTTGCACTTATACTACAGAAATGTTTAAACTGCATTGAGACAATGGGAAAAATCAACCATTCCGTCCTACTGCGAAATAAAACCACAGTGAAACTAAACGCATTTACGGTATATAGAGATAGACAAAAATTTTGCATTTCATCGTCCATCATCCTCAAATTCATTCAAGGTTAAATGCAATCCATTTTAACATTCTACCTGCTAAAATTGCAACTGGAAAGATTTGGAAAACTGTCAGACGATTCAAGTAGCATCCACTACTTTTCATCAATGACTACCAGTAGGGTACTGAAAGTTGTGATAGTTCTCATAGTCTATCCAGTTGATTGAGTACAGTAACAGAAAAACACTGCTCCTTGCCTTTTAAAGTTGAGTAGAAACTTGGTACTGGTATAACAAAAGTCAAATATCTCTACATTGTGACAGGAAAAAATGGTAAAACATAGGGAATCTGGACCTTTGAAATGACATGATAAACTAAACTTACTATAGCAAGTTACGATGTCGGACTTACAACGGAGTAAACCTCAAATCATGTAAATGCTTTCCTCAAAATTCAAAGTGCCCAGTGTTGTAAGAGTACAATGTATCAGTAGTTTGGAAAGTGGAGTTGTAAACTTGTAAGTTGTAGGCAGAATCAGTGAAACTGAATGTGGTCCATAGATGAGATTGTTTTGCACACATAAAGCAGTTGAACCCTTGAAAAACTAGCCTCTACCAGGCACCGCGGATCGCTGGAAAAATAGTAGAAATTGGTCGAAATAAAGGGATAGCATACCAGAGAAGATCCAGGGCCGTGGGTCACAAATTGGAGCTTCTATGGCCCTGGATCTTCTCTGGAGCGGTATACTATCCCTTTATTTTGGCCAATTTCTACTATTTTTCCAGCGATCCGCGGTGCCTGGTAGAGGCTATTGAAAAACATGTAGGGACTGTATTTTGCCTTATTTTCAACTAACTACAGCTAAGCAAAAGGTTGTGCATATACATGTAGACCTAGATTGTGCTGTTTTTTTGAATGACAGTCTTTCTTAGTCCTGCACACGTGATCAAAGAGTGTAATACTGGAGATTCTGTTAAATGGTACAAAAAATATTTCCAAAAGTGTCAACACTACATGTGCAAAATCTCAATTTATAAATCGTCGTGATGTTTAATTTGACATTTTTAGTTTTATATTATTTTTCTTGGTGAGTGTGGGAGGGGGGTCATCAAGTAGGCTTGGTTATTTTTATTGTATACAACGTCAATTCATCAACCTGAATGTACACATAAGATAATAAGCCAGTTGCAGTTTGAAGTATATTGTGGATATTGTGTCAAAGTCAAAGGCTCCTGGCAAAAGCAGAAAGTACTACGCTGTGCAAAACCCGAAACACGGTTTTCATTTCGCACAGGCGCAGTACGTTCTGACATACATGTAATCCTGACAATACATACAGAGGGGTCAAAGGGCTTCAACTTTTGACATATTACCCACAATGCATCACACTGCAAAAGCACTTCAAATCTTCAATTAGCTTACTAGTATGCTATCAGTAATAGGAGGAGGGACATGTGTTGTTGTTGGACTGTGTTTTCTTCATTTTATGCTGTTGGAGCAAACTAGGAGCTTTCAGAAATGGCTTACTATCCATATGCTAAGAGACCACGGTGTGGGATTGTGGAAAGTGTTAATTCCAACAGTTTAGGTCTATTTTCATAGATCTGTATTTTGAAAATGGAAGAGTAAAGCGTGCCACACTGTTCAGACAAAATTTCACCTCTGTAATATTTAAGTCAGTGATAATTTTTGAGGTTTCTGTTGTACTCTGAGATATTCACATTCATGTAAAATGCAATGCACCAATCAGCACACTTCTTACAAAGTACATGTAAAATGCAAGAGCCCAATCAGCACACTTGTTACAAAATACTACTTGTGAAATGAAGGCCTCCAATCAGCACACTTGTTACAAAGTACTACTTGTGAAATGAAGGCCTCCAATCAGCACACTTGTTACAAAGTACTACATACTTGTAAAATGAAGGCCTCCAATCAGCACACTTGTTACAAAGTACTACTTGTGAAATGAAGGCCTCCAATCAGCACACCTGTTACAAAGTACATGCAGAAGCAGAGACTTCTAAACCTTTACATGTATCGAATGTGCCTACAGTTTATGAGTAAGATAGATTAGAATGTGTACAAGCCATGTAACATATATCAATGTTAGTAAATGGTGCAACAGACCAACAAAAAGCGAAATGCTTGCTGCCATAACTAGTATTTATCTTGACACAATTCGTTTTAGATTTGATTTAGAATCACACCTGTATGTTTTTGATTGGTGGAAACCCTGCATACATGTATGTAACCCAGCTGCAATACCTCTTGTTGTGTGATCAGATTTTTGGCAACTGCTCAGGAGTGGAGCAGTGTACTTCCACAGAAAATTTACTTTAGCAAGCACAAACCCATATCCATTGTAGTAACTTTTAGAACTGGGGTTTTATTTTGAGTTAAGCAGTTGTTGTATAAGTTACCATTTCTTCTACATTTCTAGTTGAACACCATCTTTTGTCAATGGAACTTAAATTAAGATACCCATTGTGACGTTTTAGTGACTAATTTCAGTGTGTTATTGGGGTATCCAACATTTAACATGCCAAGATCAGTAATACATGTAGCAGGTTTGGTCGAAAGATGATCAAAAAGTTGCGGTAGCGCCTATGTCTCAGAGCGATTTTGTACAGCAAGCTGTGGCCAGATTTTTTTAGCAGTGAGTGCCACACTATGCAATGATGACAAAATGACCCAGAAGCCTTGTACAGTGAACTAACCATAGGTATAGGGATAAAGGACAAGCTTGGCTTCGTAAAATTGTAACTTTGCAGTAAGAATAAAGAAAACTCTTACTTTTTGTATTTTTGTCTGTGGTCTGGTCAGTGTTTAGCAGTTAATGCTTCTTATATATGTATGACAAAGTTCTTTCATTTCACTCACTCACTATCCTGGTTTAGATTTTACTGCTGCCGGTTTCCCTGTCCCAGGGGTGGGCAGCAGTCGGCTGTTGAAGTATTTCATACTTGAAAAGCTTTGCGAAGAGTCTTTACTTTTTGGTACCGCGATACGGCCATGTTGATTTGATTATAATATGGACGACATCCGTGCAAGTTTTCAACCAATCTGTAAATCGTACAAAACAGTTGCAAATATACACCGTAAGTTGCAAGAAAAATATTGGAAAGCGGTACCAATGTCGTAGAATGCCAAAATTAAACTAAGAAGACGAAAATGTAAAGAAATTTGAATGAATTTGAAGAGTGGATTATTTGCCATACCATACTCTGTGTCATTTGTTCAACCTTCATGACCACGTAGATTTCAGAATGAAATTTTTTTTTCTTTACAAAATTTTTTTTATTCGCACGCTTGCATCAGTTTTGGGGTTCCCAGAGGATGTTATCCATGGAATCAAATCAACATGGTCTAAATAGCTAGAACCAGCCTACAATTAGCCTCTACCAGGCTTGAGGATGCGGCTGGAAATAGTAGAAATTGGCCAAATAGAGATATAACACACCGAGGGGCCGGCAAACTGAATGGCTAAACTCCCTCGGTGTGTTATCTCTCTATTTGGCCAATTTCTACTATTTCTAGCCGCGCCCTCAAGCCTGGTAGAGGCTAGCCTACTATGAAACAAGCAACCGTTTTCCATCAGCAACATCACAGTTTTGCCTAACAAATATAAGTATTTGTCAAAATAAATGACCAATGTCTACTCCTTCAAGCCTGGTAGAGGCTAGAAGATTGTTGGCTGGGAAGCGGACCAAGCTAACAAGGCTGGACTCCGGGCTAAGGAGATAATAAATGTATAAAATAAAAGTGTAGTAAGCTACTCTACTCAAGATAAAGTAAGCCAAGACAGTCATATCCGACACAAAAGTAGCTTTTTCACGTTTATTACTATCTAGAAATAATAAAAACAGCAAATTCTTTATCAATATGCGTTGTCTTTCAAATGATCTGAAAAACAAAACAGATCCCAATTCCCAGCATTATTATGCTATCCCATGTTTTCCGACCATTGAAAAATAAGACAGAAAAAAATGACTAGTTATATGTACATCTATTTATGATATCAATGATGTAATATTAAACTGAGACTTGTATAAATTTGCACAACAAAGAGGATTTCTCTCTACTTGTATTTTGAATCTGAAAAGCAGCATAAAATCTACGAGAAGTGAAAGAAAACTATACAGCATCTGAAGTAAATGTAGTGTTTTTTTTTCTGATCATAATGCTAGTGTGCTCTATAGTGCCTTCAAATATACATGTAGGTCTGCAATATGTAGACTCTTTGCCAAGTTTAAACCTTATTTTTCCAATAAAAAACAAAATAATGTGTCAAAAATGAACATAAAAATCTCACTTTTGTTTTCATACTAGAATCATACTGCTCAAAATGACTTAATGTAAAAGAAATTAAAATGTAAAATATGTTTCAACTGAATTTGACAGCTCCTTTCTACGACCTAGCTCACACTTCCAAATTTGCACAAAATCTAAAATCTCTCTACTTTACCCCATTTATTTACAGTTAGGATAAAGGAATAACGAAAAAATGTCATCTAAAGCCTTTACCCGACTTTGCTAAGTGCTGCTCGTAAGATCTTGCGCTTTGGAGGAACTTTAAAAAAACAACCTCCTTACAGGAGTTTCTTTTAATGCAAGTACTTTTTGCAAGAATAAGTCTATACTAGATTATCCAGAATGGTGATTTAAGACTTGAGTAGAGGGGAGTTCCAGACAGCGGAGCTTGTTCGCTTGTTGAAGCGAGATTTCTTCACGCCGAAGACCTGGCTGAGGTCCGGAGTGTCGATGATGTCACCGAAGATCTTACTGAGATCAGGAGGATAGTAGCACTGGTTGATCAGCTGAGCTTTCAATGGGGCACCTGTATGAAGAAGACAGAAAAATTTTCTCAACCCATGCAGACAATTATATATAATAGAACAAAAGGTTGAAGTGCAAAAGCTGCCCCATGCCATCATTTTTGTTACAGTACTGATACAATGAAGACATTAAATGGACAAAGATATTTGTCGAACTTTTGGTGAAAGCTGGTTCAAATATTATGTTGTACCTTCCAAAAATCAAATAATAAATAGAATGTTTGTAGTATAAAAGGAGAATGCCATTTAATGCACATTTTGAACACTCAAGGCATCTTAAAGAACCTAACATACATCATAATTATACATGTATATAGGCACCCCAAAATTTGGTGTTTTCGATAAAATCACAGTGAAAGTAAATGAATTTATTTATAATAACATAATCTAACTGAACTGTTTCTTCCAGTCTTAATTTCTTCTTTCCCTTAATTCTGATTCCAAAATATCTCAGGACGAAGAAAATACATGATATGCCCTAGACAGTTCATTAGGTGCAGGATTTGACACTGTTGATGTTTAGGATGTTGTAATTAGTAATAGTTTATGTACTGTGTATTTGTGTGTGTATTTTTATGTGTATCCAGGATTACCTGAAAAGCAGGCCAAAATGGCCTTAGTTGTAATTACTGGTTAAATAAATAAATTGAAATTGAGACTTACCCTGCGCCCATCGCGGGATCTTTTTACGCGGCTGATCCTCGTCGTCTGTAGAGTCATCGCTGTTGAGATCCTCGATGTGGTAGTTATCCTCAGTCGCGGCCTTGTACGTACGCTTCTGCTGAGGGGTCATGTCGTACGAGTTAGGGTTCCCCTGGAAGGCAAGGTCACAGAAAATAAATACACCAGACCTAGGTGTGTACAACTCTTGAATAGTGATGCATACCTAAACCCAATTTTAGGTTCAGGTCCGGATTCAAGTCCAGAGGTTTAGGTTCAGTTCCAGACTTGTAAGTCCGGACCTAAACCCATGGCATATACAAAATTGCATGTTGACAACCCTGCAATGTTGTCTGGGTGTAACTTTGGCCACATAACATGGAGGCCGGTACTTGATAATGCCTGATGGCAAAGTTTTCTTCGTTTTGCAGCAAAGATTTTACATCTACGGAAGGTTTTAGCTGGTTTGGAAAGAAAAGGGGTATGTGATATGATCTTTTATGGTAATAAGTCTGGACTCGGTTCTTGTTTTAGGTTTCTTTTGACTAACCTAAACATTCTTACAAGTCCGGATCCAAGTCCAGTGAACCGGTATGCATCACTACCTGGGTGTGTAGAACTCTTGAACAAAAAAGAAACGTCTATATTTCAAGGAAAATAATTTTGAAAGATAATAAATCTATGTTCCCTCCTTTTCTGACCCACGTGAGATTCATTGCAATACATTATAGAAACAATTTGCCATCAGAGAGATGCTAAGTGCCCTCTAACAATGACTAATAAACTGGTGGATGTCCCAACTACTGAGTACCTAATACCAGCCCAGAAGAGAACAAGAAATAGCCATGCATTCAAGTACCAGAGTTATCAACCAAGGATTGAGGTGTTCAAGAATTCATTCTTTCCTAGAACTATCGCAGAGTGGAACTCACTGTCACCAAGTACAGTAGGGGCATTGTCAATAGATAGCTTTAAACAATGTCTAGAGCTAGAAGTTCAAGGGTTAGGTGTAACAAGTCAATCGGTGTAATATATAGCCAGCTGCCAGCGCCGCGTGCCTGCGAAGCTGGTGTGTTACGCCGAAAGGCGGTTATACCGGCTATACAGATACAGATAACTCCAACAGAACATACAGCAACTACGTTACAATTTTAGAGAATCCTCTCTTGTAAGGATGCAAGGCAATTTTTTTTTTACAAGTGGCAAAGTAAGGCAAAGGGTCACAATGCAATTTCAGGGTGGCAAAAACCAACAAAATATTCTTAATTAATCTGATAAATAAATCTGATGACATTACTGACATTTCTTAGCACTAGAAAATAGCTAGAACCAGTCTGGATCAAAAATTGATTCTGAAATTCAGTTTTACTTAGTGATGCATACTGGTTCACTGGACTTGGGGATCCGAACTTGTAAGAATGTTTAGGTTCAAGTCTAAAAAAACCTAAAAGTCAAGAACCGAGTCCGGACTTATTACCATAAAATACCATTTCACGTACCCCTTTTCTTTCCAAATGAAACCACCTAAAATCTTCAATAGATTGTAAAATCTTTGCTGCAAAATGAAGAAAACATTGCCATCGGGCATCGTCAAGTACCGGCCTCCATGTTATGTGGCCAAAGTTTCACACAGACAACATTGAAAGGTTGCCAACATGCAATTTTGTATATGCCATGGGTTTAGGTCTGGACTTACAAGTCTGGAACTGAACCTAAACCTCTGGACTTGAATCCGGACCTGAACCTAAATGTGGGTTTAGGTATGCAGCTTTACACCATAATGTATTACACAAGGTTGTATAATTCCACCATCTACCCACCTCCTTGTTGAAGGTGCCATTAAGGTTGGGTTTGTGCAGACTGCTGTTCATACTGGTGTTAGCAGCCGTGGAGCTGGTGTTCAGGGAGGAGTTCATGATGGCCGCACGTTTCTTCGCCTCGGCCTCCTGAATCTCTCGCCGCTCCCGTTCCTGTCGCTCGCGCTCCTTCTGCATGATCTCCGCAAGCCGCTGCCGATCCTGAAAATGTGACAAAATCGGTAAAAATTTAGACATATTACTAGATTTGTAACTAGAAATGGACATAAAAGGCTAGCCATGTTCCAAATCTTTATTCTAGCATTTAATTTTTAACACACAGCAGAAGTCAAAACACTGTACAAAAGTACATTTGACATGATTTTCTGAACAATCGAAGCCAAAACTAGACATGTAACAGCAAAGCAAATGCATAATGTTTTCCTTTAGGTGGTCCAGCCTACCAAACTTACTACTGCTGTTTATTCTTACTCAAACACATTCATAATATCATTACCAGCCCCTTAAACTCTGTCCTGCAACTTGAAACATAATGTAATCCAACACCAATTAGCATGGTGACAGACTTCTGGTTCAGGTCATTGACCTTTTTTTATTTGGAAGGAAGAAAAAGAGTAAGAAGAGGCAGGGTTCCTACTTTCATATTAATATCAAAATGCAATACAAAAAATATCCATTGTCAAAGTACAAGAAGCAACTAGTTACTAGTACAATAAAGATTGGAGAGCAGCTAACCCTTTCTTTCTGCTTCTCGTACTCTTCTTTCTTCTTGCGTTCAGCCTCTTCCCGCGCTCTCCTTTCCGCCTCCTCGCGAGCCTTCCTCTCCATTTCACGCTGCAGCTCCTTCTCACGTTCCCTTTCCTTACGCTCGCGCTCCCTACAAGAAAGGAAGAAAATAACTTTTTAATGCTCAATAAAACAATAAAAAGACATCAGAGATTTAAGATTAAGAAGTGTGCAATCCCTGCTGGCTTCCTGAATTCCTCTATGATCAACATCATGTCAACATTTTCCTGCTTGCTCCCTGAGCTAAATTCTAAGACATTGACCTGTTAGTTTGCCTGTCAATCTTTTCCAACCCACACGCTGTCAACCTACTCTGTCTGGAGAAACAGGTACACAAACCCACAGCTTAGAAACCCAAAATACATACAAGTAATTAGTCTTTTTCTTTTGCAGATGTACATGTACTTGTAGGATCTATCTTTGACTTAACCTGTTGAAATCTTAACCTTCTTCATGCTGCATAATCTCATAACCAGTACATCTGTGCGTGTGGTCACCTCAGCAGTAGGATGGTTAACGTTTCAAATCCTGCAATCTCATGAAAGATCGAAATATAACCTCTCTTCTGTAAGTCATTCCAGAAGTTTGATTTCATGCTTTCTTGAACAAATTCTTTAACGCACAAATTTCAACCTTTTTTGTGCGTAGAAACTTAACCTTTCAAAATCACCTGAAATCACTGAAAAATTGACATAACATTAACAAGACTATGTAGTGTAGTAGAATGCAAGCAAGATGGTGTTAAATTTTTATTTTCGTGTCTTTTTTCCAAGCTTAAAAGAGCAAAAAGTTTGGGAATCAGCTAATTTGCATATTTTTATGCGCAAGTTTTTCACACGCAGAAAACCCCATCTCAAATCCTGCAATCTCATGAGAGATCAAAATAACAAATCTCACCTCTCCTCTGCGAGGCGTAGCCTCTCTCTCTCCTTCTCCTCCTCCTGTTGTTTCCTGAGTTCGATCTCGCGCTGTCTCTCCCTCTCCAGCTCCTGCCGCCGCTCCTCGGCCTGTCGGCGCAGTTCCTCCGCCCGTGCCGCTCTCTCCGCCTCCTCGTGTTCTTTCTTACGCAGGATGAGCTCGCGGTGGCGTCGCTGTTCCTCCTCCTGTAGAACATTTCCCAAGTCAGTAAGAGCTTTTTTGACACCATCTTTAGTTTTTGACACCAGTTCCAATGTGAACTAATAACCTGTTCCTTCAGCATGGTTCTCACTAGGCTATTTCAGCGTAGGGGCCCCCTATACTGTGATTTGGACCCCCTACGCTGTGATTTAGCCCCCTACACTGTCTTTCAACCAGTATAGGGGTGTTTTTTTGGGAAGAACCTTCATAAATCATTCAAAAAATGAAAATATAACTTTAGAATGAACCAATAACAAAGTGAAAACAAAATCTGTTCCCCAATAAGCAAGAAATAGTGTCTCAAGAGATAATGAGTTACAAAATTTTGGGAGGAAGAATACCAGACCCCCTACTGTGGTCATGTTTTTGGGACTCAATGTGGGACTTGCTCTACAGAAAGTTGCCCTTCTGTACCTGACCCCTATGCTGTGAAAAAATCCTGGTGAGAACCCTGCTTCAGTTTCATTCCATTAATGGTCACACTACAGGGGCTGAACTATTAGTTTTGATGACACCAGTTCCTAATTGTGTTAACTCGTTTCTTCAGCTTCACTGGCTTAGTCTCATTCTCTTGCCTTCTTTTTTTGGCTACACCACAGGGGCTGACCTTCTAGCTTTGTTGACATTACTTCCTACGTAGTAAACTATTCCTTACACTTGTTTCTTTAGCCTGGCCTACTGTTGTTTCCCTTCCCTTTTTTTTGCAACAACACAGGGCCGAGCCATTACTTTTGTTGACTACCTACAAACTAACCTGTTCCAGTCTCATCAACATTGACATTCTTTTGCTACACCACAGGGGCTGAGCCTATAGTTTTCCTTAAACCAGTTGCTCCAGTTTGTCCCTTGACTCCTCCTGTTGCCTCCTAGCTTAATTTGCTACACCACAGGGGCTGAGCCTTTAGTTCCTATGTACTAACCTGTTCCTTCAGTTTCAGTAGCCTGGCCTCCTCCTCTTGTTTCCTCCTAGCCTCGGCCTCGGCTCTCTTCTGTAACTTCAGCTTCTTCCTCGCGGCGTCCTCTGCAAGACGTTCCTCCTTTATCTTCTCTGTCTCGGCCACGCGGTGGCTGTACTCCTTCTCCAGACGGAGTTTCTTCTCCTTGTCCGCCTTCTCTCTCTGTTCTCGCAGCTTAGCAGCGCGCTTGGTTCTCTCTTCTCGTTTTCTGTTGAGAAAGTAGAGATTGGTAAAATTAGTAAAAATCATGACTGTTCGCCAAAGGGTAAATGTCAGTTTCTGAGGAACAAAGATTTTACTTTTTACATGTAACTACATGATTGTTTTTCAGTTGCCACTTTCTCTTTACACATTCTAAACTATTTGATTACAAGAATTAGATTATTGTCAAGCACTTTATAACCAAAAACTGTTTGTTGTTTGTTAATGGAATGTATCTGATTCTGACCGTTTTTGTTCTTCCATTTTCTGCTTCTTCTCCTCCTCTCTCTTCTTGATGATTTCTGCCTCCTTTGCCTTCTTAGCGGCCAGTTTTAGTTTCATCTGTTTGGCTCTCTCCTGTGGACAAAAAAATACAATATAAATGTGTGCATGGTTTCATGATCAGATAAAGTTTTTAATTATGTCTTGTTGCTTACAGTGCTAGAAAGGGATACAGTATATGGATGGATTATTGTAAAGCTTGCTACAGAAAAGGAAAGTGATCTTAATCAATGGCTAGCAGAATCTGTGGCTCAAGATCTAGGTTGACAGCATGTGAGTGGGGGCAAGATTGACAGGCAGAATGACAGTTGGACAGGGGAGATGGGGTAAGATGAAGATTCAGAAGGTCTCAGAATCTGGCCGAGATCCACAAAAAATATGGTGGTGACATGGGGGAATTCAGGAAGGCGAGGAGGTTACCTCTGAAGACATCTGTTTGACAGGAGTGTTCCTCTTGATGAAGGAGGTGACCGTGGCGTTCAGGTTACCCGGGGTCATGAGAGAACTGCTGCTGCCTGTCAGGAACGAGAATTGCTTCGGACGGGGACGAACAACCTGGGGGAAAACACAAAAATGGTGACTTCATGGCTCCACCCCTAAGGCATTGCCAAAAACTAGGACGACTACATAGAACACTAAGAATTTTCCTCATAATAGACCAATCCTGAAAGCCCATCCAATTAGCAATTCAGCCAATGACAGTGTGGCAATTAGCAGTTTGACCAATGAGAGAGTGGCTGCAATTGTCCATCAAATATATTATCGTTGAAGAGGTTCATCAGTCACGTAAGATTACAGTTAGTAGAAGATTCTTTAATAAGTGACTGTTTTTATGTTTTTATTTAGCATTTCTACATTTTCACTGAAGTGGGCTGGGCTATGGGATTGGCCTATTACTGAGTATAAGTTTAAGAGTTTCAGGATAGTAAGAATTTCTAATTACAAAAAAAGTATTTCTGTACTTTTTCTAGATAGCAAACCAGTTACTGAGTTAGGGCACACAAGAAAGTTGTTTTTAAAAGCTCACCCGTTGTTGTGATCTCAGAAGAGGTCTTGAAAAAATTGCCTGTAGAGTGAGGAGTTTTTATTTAATTTACTGCATGCATGCAATACCGTTGTTAACAGAAAGGTGGCAGTTTTTAGGACACCAGAACAGAGTTTCCACGGACAAAAAGACACTGACAGTTAGAAATACATGAGCAGCTGAAGTTGATTGGAGTTTTTCTGACCTTGTTCCGCGGACACTTGGGTGACGGTGTCTTGTCCACAATGTCACTTTCTTCATCATCTTCAGTGGAGTTATCCTCAGATTTCGCTATGCTCGCGCTGGAGAAAAAGGAAATTTAACAATTGAGGAATACAGAGAAAAAATGGCTGAATCTAGGGTTGGTCTTGAAACAGGAAACACAACATTTTTTCCCTAGGCCTAGACACTTTAGTTTAAAGACTGAAATACTGACCTTGTTCCTTTGGAGCTTGCCTGAGAGCCCTGGCTGTTCTCTAGGCTATCCCTGGACAGGTCAACGACCTCTGGCTCCTCAGAATGGGACAGTTTGGATCGCTTCTTGGCCGGGGCGGTCTCTCCTCCATCTGAGCTCTGTGGAGAAAGTAGAAACAACTGAAGGAAAATGGTTATACGTACTGGTTCTAGTTCTTTATTGAGACTTTTCATATGCATGTAGGTTGTTTTGGGGCTTTTTCACATTCTTAAAGTACGAAATGATGTCGAAAATGTGCTAAGAAATGGTAGTAAATGTCAGTATCAGACAGATTTCTTCATCTAGAATATCCTTGGTTTTGCCACCCTGAAATTGCAAATTTGGAAATTCAGTGGCTTCACTTTTGACCTTGCTCAACTGCAGCTGAATCTGTGAACCTGAGCTTATAAATTTGAGTCTACAACTTACATCATCACTTCGTGATGTTCTCTTCTGACTGGGTGGTCGTTCCATCTCCTCCACTGCGGAATCTTTGCCGTCATCCGACACTGTCGACACGTGTGAGGCGCGGGAACGCGAAGCTCGCGTGGACATGCGCCCTGCTGTCTCCGCCACCTCCACTTTCTGGCGAGGGAGGACGGAAGATTTCCTCTTGGCAGCCGCGACTTTGCAGGAGAGCCTGACAGACTGGCGTTTGGAGCTGCGGCGGCTACACCGCGTAGACCGTGTCGATCTGTTGCTCGTGCTTGAGATGTCGGACTTGGCGGTCTCCTCTTCTAAGCTGTCTTGCTCGACAGACACTTGCATCTCTTCTTCTTGGGTTGCAGCTTCTTCAACATTTTCAGAAGCGCCCGCCGTGGTTGCACTTTCAGTTACTGTCGCTTCTTTCCCTCCCATCCATTCCGCGATCTTACTGGCTGCAGCCGACACAAACTGCCTTGCCTTCGAGCGAGTGCTTCTCATTGGTTGCGGCTGAGGAGCGGGGCTTGCTACTAGCTGCGTCTTTGACTTCTGCTGCACTTTTCCTCCTCTTGGCTTCTTCAGATGTTTCTGGGGTGTGTCATCATCGGAAGAACTTACGATCATTTCTTCGTGTTTCTTGATGAGATCCTTGACGAAGCCGGTACCGGGGGTTGCAGGCTTCAGAACATCGGGGAAGAAGCGCTGCGTTTCTATTTCCATCTCTTCTACCTCTTGCTCCTCACTTTCACTTGTTGTAGGATTCTTGTCTCCCTCTGAAGTCTCGCTTTCTGTTGCTGTCTCGGCTACCTTGTCTGCGATCTTGATCTTGTTGGCTTGTCTCGTCTTTGTGGGCGACTTCTGGGTGTCCGATTCTTTCTGCAGCCTGGTTTTGGTACGTGTGGACCTGGTCGTGGTGGCAGTTTCTTCGCCTTCGGTGTCGGTTCCGCTTTTGCCAGATACTATTTCTGCGTCGGACTCTGATTTTGATTCCTTTTGCAATCTAGTTTTGGTACGCGTGGACCTCGTTGTCGCTGTAGTTTCTTCGCCATCCTTTTCACTTTTGTCAGATGCCATCGCTGCATCAGACTCTGGTTCTGACTCCTTTTGCTGTCTAGTTTTGGTACGTGTGGACCTCGTTGGTTTTGTAGTTTCTTCGCCGTCAGTTTCGCTTTTGTCGGACACCAGCACTGCATCAGAGTCTGATTCCTTCTGCAGTCTGGTTTTGGTACGTGTCGACCGGTTTGTTGCAATGGGCTCTTCTCCCTCCGTGTCACTTTTGCCGGATGCCTTTGAAGTGTCTGATTCAGAGTCAGACTTCTTGTTTTTGCTGACTCTGGACCTTGGGATTTGTGCTGTAGTTTCTTCTCCCTCTGTATCGGTGCTGTTCTGCACCACGTTTCTCTGCCTAGAGGCACGGGTTGCTCTGGTTGGTCGAATCACCGTCACCTCGGCCTCTGAATCCGACTCCGTGGTATTTCCTCCCCGCGTGCGAGTAGACCGGGAGGTCCTGGTGGGAGGCGGCTGGGCGAAGCTCACCGATTGGCTGGGAGCCGTAGGGGGCGGAGTCTTGCAGTCTTCCACATTTTGTGGAGGGATTTTGAGAGTTGCCTTCAGCAGTTCTGTCTCGGAGATGGCCTTGAGCTCGTGAGCGTTGGATCGCCGCATGGCCCTACTCCTTCTGGAGGCAGAGCTCCTAGAAAAAGAGAAACAAATACTTATTTCTTAGCAAGCATCTAACTTGCATTCATGTACAATTGACTTTCCTGGTTCTAAGGTTTATAACAAAGAAGTCTGTTATGGTAGTTTTAATCAGTTTTTGTTCTCACCTCCTTTTAGCTGCAGGCTCCACATTCTCCTCCTCCTCCTCAACTTCTGGAAGTTTGCGTATCCGTCTCCTGCGGTTCTTGGCTGACGGTGTCTTGGGTAGCAACTCTGGTTCTTTCCTGGTTGAGAAAAGTATAGCATATTGTGGTGATGGTAATAATAATTCATTATGATATTGAAAAGCCTCCATCTACCATCAGTCTATGGGCAAGTTCACACCTCATACTCTACAGACAACAAACAACCTCTCCTGTACCTTATTATTGTTAACAAATTAGCATTTGAACTAAATGCATTCAATTAGTAAAAGGTATCTAGCATGTTCAGACATGTTGGACAGAGAAGAAAGGACTTGTGAATGTGAGTGTGAAAAATACTAGCCTCTACGTATACCAGGCTTCAGAAGGGACTGGAAATTGGCCAAACAGACAGGTTCGATGCCAGGGGAGTTTGTCCACCATTGCATAGTTAGCCGCTGTCCAGTCGCCTCTAGTTCTAGATCTAAAGCTTGGTAGAGGCGTAGAAAAATACTGAAGTACAACATTTATGTGTCTTTAAGCATTGACAGTTACTTGAAACAGTGCATTTTACTTACCTGGCAAAAGATTTCTTGGCCACCTCTAGGATTTCGTTCAGCCATGTCATGTGCTCATCTTCAAACGTCCTGTTGAACTCTGACAGTTGTGATGTCATGAACATGTGCAGGCGAAGCCCAACTGGAATTAGAAGAACAAAACAGTCCAAATCAGACTATAAACAATTTTCTTACATATCTGTATCTGTTAGATAACTGTCCTTTGTTGTAACACATCATCTGTGCAATGCAGTGTATATACGGTACCATAAATAATTTTTTATTTGCAACAAGAACACTAACAACAGTCAAATCTAGTGATTACTTACGTGTGTGTGTCAGCACAGTGCTTTTGCTAGGTTCCCTCGGCATGACGAAGGTTAAATTTGTCCTCTTCTACACTCCAATACGAAATCTGGAAAGACAAAATTTTTGCAAAATCAGACATAGTACTTAGACTTTCAAAACACCGGTTTGTGCCACATGTAGGTTGCAAAAACCTAACAAATTGCGGGTTAAAACAATAGTTTCTTGACTTATACAACTCTCTAACACAAAAATATGAGTGTTACCTACCTAGTTCATATAAATTTGTTGAGATACCGATGCCTCCGGGCCGGCAAAGGAAGAAGTTACTCCCTGTTCTCCACCGACCACAACCTTATTCTTGTCTTGGAACTCGAGAAAATGGTGTCTTCCGTTAGGTCCCGGATTTCAAAATTCGTGTCAACGAACTGACCAATCACAGCTCAGTATTCTTGACATGACGTAACTTGCCAAATCTCAAAACAATCAAAAACGTTTGTATACGTTTATATTTCTGAAGTATTGAATATATTTTATCAATTGAAAATATTTTGGTGTTAATGAATAAATTTAGACAATATTTTATGAAAAATATTGGATTTGGTGAAGTCACGCAGAATCTCGTAGTCACGTGGTGCTAATGAGCGTCTCGCGCGAGAGTTGGCCACGTCTACCTTTGGGACCGGGCGCGACTCAGAAAGTCAGTGGTTTTTGGAGTTTTCTTGAATATTTGAGACATTGACAGGTAAGGTACACTTGTTTTGGGGTCTCAGGGATTCGTATTAAGAATATGAATCGAAAACTGCTTGTGTTTTAGGCTTCGCAACTCGATTCTTTGAGCTTAAAAATACGTCAAACCGGCATGCCCCCCTCCCCCTCACAAGCCGACGTGTCCGTCTAGTAACATTTCTTGTCAAGAACTTTTGATGATTTTAAATTCTTGAACTTACGAATTCCTTAAATTCTGCACAAATAAATTCATGTATATAATAATACGTGTATATGTATTATTAAATCTGTATATTTTCAAACAAGAATGTTATAGATATAATGTTAATAAATTTTAGCAAAATTATTTCAGAACTGGATAATTTTTCTGGCCAATCCATAAAAAAGAAGTAAATAAATCCTATATAGTATAAGCATGCTGATAACTGCGGGTCAAAAATTCAACGTCATTGACAGAAAATGCCAATTGCAAATTATATCAGACAGATTTTCTCATCCAGAATAGTTTATGTATTGCCATGCTGAAATAATTTGCATTGGATAATTTTTGTTAACTTTTTCAGGAAGAGAAGTGAAGATGACAACTGCAGCAGAGCAGCCATGTTACACCCTCATCAACATCCCTTCTGATGCTGAACCTCCCACAGAACTGCAACTCAAGACTGATCTGGGTATGGGCAGACATGTAGATTTGGTGTACATTTCTTCATGTTTGGGTACTACTCCATGAAAGTGATGCAAGACTTTTTTTTTTTACCTTCAGCAAGAAGGCTATGTTATGGGTTGTGTCATGGTAGAATAGCTGTAGTCTGCTACTAAATTACAGCACTACTCAAGAAGCTGTGAATGGATTTTAATCAAGTTGATGGTAATGATGTTTGGTAGGTGAGTAACAGTAGTGGAAAGGAAGGTCAAGTTCGAAAATGGTTAACCTGGCATTTTCCTATGGTACTGCAGCAGGCTATGTATGTTTTACAAATCTTTTGTGTGTTATTTCCCACAGAAAAGGGGGATGTCCGCACCAAGACAGAAGCCCTGAAGAAGGTCATCCACATGATCCTCAATGGAGAGAAGATGCCTTCTCTACTCATGACTATTATCAGGTATGCAACATAAGGATGCTAATATAAGACATAGCAATGATAATTACTTTTTTTTTGCTTCAATGTAGTGTTCTAGCCAGCCTGATTTTTTTTCTGTCTCAGGTTGGTTTGCTGTAACATTCAGAGAGCATGCTCTCCCATGAAAATTTGAAATCGTGACCCTCTGAAACGCTGTTTCGTGCATTTTGAGGATCAATTTTTGCTGGTTTGCATTCCATCTTTGCACATCATTTTCTTTACGTCAAAGATGATGGATTGGGCAAAACATGTGTAAATGGCATAACACAATGAGTGGCAAAATTCCTTCAAATAACTGAAAGATGAATGCTGACTAGAACATTGCTTCAATGCCAAAAAAAAAAGCTGTTACTAGTAGTATACTTTCCATTTGCTACTTCAAGCTTTTAAGATTGCTGTCTCTCTTTACATTAAGTCTGTCTTGTTTGTCTGTCCAGATTTGTGATGCCTCTCCAAGACCACACCATTAAGAAACTCCTGCTGATTTTCTGGGAGATCGTGCCCAAGTGTGGACCAGATGGCAAGATGCTGCACGAGTTTATCCTTGTCTGCGATGCTTACAGAAAGGTAACCTGTGAAACAGTTTCCTTGGGGGCATGTTGGCCTTAGAGCCAAGGAGTTGGCCTCACCCTGTATAAGCCCTTGAAATAGTCTGGCATCCAGGCAATTAATTTCTGGTCTTGATAGTAATGATACTGTACATGTATGTTCCATTGTAGCTTGTGTAGTTGCTTCAATTTTCACCTCAAAGCTCATATGAAGTTACGAACCACTTACATGTTTTGGGTTGAATTAGGGAGCTGTGAAGACAGATGACGTTAGGATACTAGTACTTTATTACTAGTATCGTTCGAAATTTCTTGGGAAAAAAAAATTTGATACAATCTCACTCCCTCATTTACTATCCAGTTTAGCGTCTGTTGTTTGCCATGTGCTAAGGTAGGAAGGGTTAGATGTTAAGTTTAAACAAGACTAACAATGAAAACATACATTGCCATGGCGATGGTAGTTTGTTAGGGTTATTGTTTGCATGGCACCGCCATGATTTCATGATTTTGAGGGAGCCTTGTTACCCTCCCCTCCCCTGAGTGTTTTGTGAACGAGCCCTGGGGTCTTAGAAAGTAGGGCATCTGGGGCAGACAGGTTCTTCAAAGGGTTTCCAGGAATGTGGGCATGTCAACAAACAGAGCTGGGAGTCATTCCTGTGGACATTCCATGCCTGTGGGCAAAATTCCTATACAAATTCTAGAATTCTTGTGAACTGCACACAATATTGTAGTATCATTAGGCTCCTCCCTGAGACGTCGCCAAAAACATCTCTTGTTTTTCTTCAGGACCTTCAACATCCCAACGAGTTCATCCGGGGTTCCACGCTGCGGTTCCTGTGTAAGCTGAAGGAGCCGGAGCTACTGGAGCCCCTCATGCCGTCCATCCGCACCTGTCTGGAACATCGCCACTCCTACGTGCGCAGGAACGCTGTGCTCGCCATCTTCACCATCTACAAGTCAGTCACCTTTCTTTGGTTATACCTCGTGTATTATGGCACATATATGGTGTATTATAAGATCACAAAACCCACTAATCATGCAGAATGTGGGACTATTCATTATCCAATGCCTTCAAAGAAGAAGTCGAACCCCATAATAGCTAGCGTAGTAGTAGAAGTAGAAGTTTTTTTCCAGACAGTTGTTACCTGTCTCCTGTTACTGTATTGCAATGAGTATTATACTTGATTGTAAAAGCAATTAGCCTACGGGCATGATTTTGCGAATAAAGTTTCTATATAATTATAGAACTCTCGGGTTCTACCTGGGTTCTACATGTTCCAACCGCAGAAGGCATTGGAAGATTCCATTGCTGCATGGGGGTATAGACTACTACTATTAGAACACTTCATATTTTGGACAGGGCTGATTTAGGAACAGTTCAATTGTGCTGGAGGGGTATAGGTCCATTTTTGTTACGGGGCTTAGGCCCTTGGGCATGCGCAAACAATTTTGATAACCAAGTAAAAAGCATATTTTACTTATATAAGAAATGTTGAATTTTTGCAGGAACTTTGACTCCCTGATTCCTGATGGCCCAGAGCTGATCCACAACTTCCTGGAACAGGAACAGGACGCCTCCTGCAAGAGGAACGCCTTCATGATGCTCATCCACGCTGATCAGGTGAGGCACAGACTCTGGTGAGAGACCAGAGACAACTCTGATGAGAGACCATTTTTTGTTCAAATCATTATACTACATTATACAACGATCTGATAAAAAATCTCTCGTCAGAGTTGTTTCAGGTAAGACATAAACTCTGGTGAGAGACCATTTTTGGCTCAAATATTTTTACTACATTTTATGAATGATTTGAGCCAAAAAATGGTCTCTCATCAGAGTTATTTCAGGTAAGACAGGTTCAGAGACCAGAAACAACTTTGATAAGAGAGTCAGACCATTTATTCGGGTCAAATCATTGAAATTACATTTTACAGTTCAAAGTACAGATATGCAACAGAAGATGATTTTCGTTTTTTTTTCTTCTCTTCACAGGAACGAGCACTGGACTACCTGAGCACCTGTATCGACCAGCTGCATACCTTTGGTGACATTCTACAGCTGGTTATTGTGGAGCTGGTGTACAAGGTAGGGTTCTAAGCAGAAAGGTCTTCAAAGTGAAATTTCTAACTCAAAGACTTTGTAAACTGTTTTATAACATAGTGGTTTTGATATACAACCACTCATTCATTCATTTATCCATCCATCTATTCATTTCGTAGTCAACTATATGTAGGTTTGTTTGTTTTTTTAGGACCAGTTGCATGTGAATCTGCATGTGAACCAAACAATCATTTTGGGTAACTGAGCTATGGGTTGTGTATCTGTTTATCTGAACAGAGTAGGTTGACAGCACATGGGCGGGGGAGATTGACGGGCAGAATGACAGAGAGTCATAGGTCTTAGAATCTGGCTGGGAGCCAGCTGGAGTTAATGGTCAACATGGGACGCTGAGAATTCAGGAAGCCGAGAATTGGTATACATCCAGAAAGTCAGAAGTTTCTAAATCATTTCTTGTTAACTGTGCTGTATATTTCCCACAGGTGTGCCACGCTAACCCGAGTGAGCGCGCTCGCTTCATCCGCTGTATCTACAACCTGCTGAACTCGTCCAGCCCGGCCGTGCGCTACGAGGCGGCGGGAACACTGGTCACTCTGTCCAGTGCACCCACTGCTATCAAGGTACACAACTCTAGATCTGTTCCTGTGTCTCTTTCTCTGGTCCACACTAAGAAATAACGTTGTTACCTGAGTGAAGATACTCTTTTTACACAACCAAGTCTTTTATTCAGCCGATGGGAATGCATCTGTAGCGGCGACACCTGTGCTGCAGTGCAATGTGAACCAGTCAGAATTGCCCTGAGGAAGGTGACAGACGGTCACCGAAACGTCGGCTGAATAAAAGACTTGGTTGTGGAAAGAGAGTCTCTTCACTCAGTGTCCTACCATCCTGATGAAACTATTCACGTATTGTTGTTACTTTCGTGAAATTGTTTTTTGTACTGTTTTTTGTGTATCGGACTGTGTTCCTGTGCATTACAGTTTTGCCATGTGCTAGTTACATTTACTGAAGGGTGACAGGTAGTCAAATATCTATCAACCAAGAACTGAGGTGTTAAAAAAATTTCGTAGAGTGGAACTCGTTGCCACCAAGTATAGTTGGGGCATCATCACTAGATAGCTTTTAACAACCCCTTTAAACAAACCTTATTTACATTATCAATTTGCATAATCTCAAAATATTTCAGGAACATTCAGCTAGACATAGGCTATATTTAGGTCACTGATATGATTCGTTGTACATGTATGTTGTATAGGCTGCAGCAAGCTGCTACATCGAGCTTATTGTGAAGGAGAGCGACAACAACGTGAAACTCATCGTTCTGGACAGACTTATCGCGCTGAAGGACAACCCGCAGCACGAGAGGGTACTGCAGGTACGCCAACACGACATTCGCAGTGCGCCCGAAACTCGCACGTTAAGCAAAACATAACACAAAGTTGCTTAACTGTATGTGCTGTTCTTTTAGTAACTATGTAAAAGCTAGTCCATACAGGGCTTGAAATACCACCTGCATGTGCAGGTTAGTGCAGGTAAAATTGGACCTGTGCAGGTATTTCTGATGTCTACCTGCACCTAACCTGCACAGGTCCATGTACTGGGTATATGCAGGTTAGTGCAGGTAAAATTGGAGCTGTGCAGGTATTTCTGATGTCTACCTGCACCTAACCTGCACTGGTCCATGTACTGGGTATATGCAGGTTAGTGTGGATGTTTACATGACATGATGCACTGACTGTTTCCACCTATGAAGTACATATCGATATCATGACAATAGTTTCTAAACAGTTTTTAATATGATCCGTACTTCCTAAATTTTGAGTGGTGCAGGAAAAATTTGGTGTAGGTAATTTTCAGTGTCAATTGCACTAGTGCAGGTATGCAGAAAAAAGTATTTCTAGCATTGCTATATATTATGGTTGGATGGGAAATGTTTCAAAAATATATCTTTGGCTCTTCTCAATAATATATACAGTCTGGTTAACCAAATTGAATCTTTTGTATGTTGCATGCATCCTTTTTCACCCCAGGAACAAGTAAGTCTTCCCCTTTTTGCAACTGTAGAACCAGACAACTTGCTTACTAGAAAAAAAAGGAACTAAAAAGAACTGAATAAAAAAAAAGGAACTAAAACAAAACTAAAATTAAACTGCACATGTGCGTTGTGGGTAATATGTCAAAGTTCAAGGCCCCTGAGATATAAGCAGAACACTTGTTGACATGAATCAAACATGGTCTAAACAATAAACAAGAACTGTTTATAAGTTAGGGACCTTTACCTTTGGCATGGCTCATGTGCAGTTTAAACCTTGAACTAGCTTACTAATAAAGGCATTAAAAGTTACTGTTGACTTGTAGTGGTAAATGATGTGTTTCGGTCATGTTTAATTTTTGGGTTGATGTCTGTAGGATCTTGTGATGGACATCTTACGTGTGCTGTCCACACCAGACTTGGAGGTCCGGAAGAAGACACTTAACTTGGCTCTTGACCTGGTGTCTTCAAGGAATGTTGAAGAGGTGGGCTGAGTTTTTGTAGACTCTTCTGTTATATTGACCTCTTGATTAAGCACATTTCTAGCCTGTGTATTTATGATTTTGAGTTGTTTCCAGTGCCTATGGTATGTTAACTTTTGAAAATTCAGTGATTGAGATACAATTTATGGAGATTTGCCCAAAAAAGCCTTAATTCGCCAACCCTGTCTAAATGTTCCTTGAGACTTTGGAAAACTAGCTTTTAAGTCATATCTAGTTCAATTTTCACAGTGTATACAAAGGTGGTCTTGTGGTTAGGGTTGTTGACTCAGAATCTAAAGGTTCTGGGTTCAAATCCCTGGCAGGCCCCAATGTTGTGTCCTTGGGAAAGGCACTTTTTACCTATTTCAGTATTGTTCCTACTGTACAAAATTGTCGGGTTTAACATTTAAGTAACTCACGCATGTAAACAGCTTTTAGTTGTAACTTACACCTAAAAGCTGTTTAGATGTCAGTTACGTGAAACAAACAAGCAAACAAACAGAATTACAATGTAAACTTTGATATGTGTTATTTTTCCAGTTGGTACTTGTGCTGAAGAAGGAAGTGATTAAGACTAATGACATTACTGAACATGAGGACACAGACAAGTACCGTCAGCTACTGGTTCGAACCCTGCACTCCTGTAGTATCAAGTTTCCTGACATGGCCGGGACTGTCATACCTGTGGTGAGATAACTAGCATCTTTTCTGTTCATACATACCGTAAATCTTGAAAAATGTTGTGTGGTATTTTTTCAGAGATCACTCCACCGTGAATTCATGACATTACTTCTGTACTCCAAAAATCACTTTTCCCATCTTTCGTTAAATGTCCTTGCAAAAATAAAGGAATTAACCGTAAAAGAAAACTAGTACAGGGTATATACATGTAGAAGCCCCTTTGTATCTCTAAGGCTATTCTCAAAAGTAAACTACCACAATAAGAAGAGACTGGAACTGGTACTTGAAGGATTACCTTTGGTATTTTCTCAAGGGAAAACTATGAAGATAAAAGAACGGTGAGTATTTCAAGATTTGCAGTAAAATTTTATACTATAGTCTAGGGCCAGAAGAAACAAAACTAAGAAAAATGCTGTCTTTTTTGTAGATTAAAAGGTTATATATCTGCTTATTTTATATCTCTGTGGAAACTCTTGTTGCCTACAGCTGATGGAGTTCCTCAGTGACCAGAATGAGCTGGCTGCGGCTGACGTGTTGGTGTTTGTACGCGAAGCCATCCAGCGCTTCGACCAGCTGAAACACGTCATCCTGGAGAAACTGTTGGAGGTTTTTCCTTCCATCAAGTCTGTCAAGTAAGTCATGTTATAACTAGAAAAATAACATTTGCAAAGCAAATGTATATAGACAGGAGTTTAAAGCCCTCCTACTATAAAATTGCAACATGATTTAACCCAACACCAGTTACCATGGTGAGAGACAGTCTGGTTCAGTCAAATCAGAGGTCACTGTTTACAGAAGAAGAAGAGGAAATGTAGCAAAAACAATATTTTTTCCTTCGGTTAACATAATACCTTTAGCACTGGGTGCAATACATCCTAGGATTGTTTAGAGGCTATCGAGAGGGTTTTCCAGACTACTGATGCATTTTTTTGTGTGTGTGGGATTAGTAGATACTTTATCACATACTGTTAAGTTGTATGCATTTTTATTTCCCAAAATTATTATCTATTGGAAAATAAAATCCTCCTCTCGACTTAAGTGTTCCTTTAACTATCTTATAATCATTATAAAAGACAGGTTTCTGATGTTTGAATTGACAAACTATTGAAACTTTGTGAAACTTACATGTAACTTGGTTGCATGCACTTTTTGTAGGATCCACCGGGCGGCACTGTGGATTCTGGGCGAGTACTGTACAACAGCGGAGGACATCCAGGCACTCATGCACGAGATCCGCCATTCGCTGGGAGATGTAAGTCTTACGTCTTTCACAATCTTTAATTATCCAAAGAACCACAAGATACGTAAAAAAAAACAGCTCTGTTGCAGTACCGTTGCAGTACCATTGCAGTACCAAGGACAGCCTCCAGGAGTCACACATTTGACCGTCATCTTCCAATGATCAACCTACATGTACATATCAATCCATCCCTTCTTGAGTTATGCCAAGCATGAATATGAGGAAACACAGACAGATACACACACACACTCAAACACACCCACAGGCACACACACACACACACACACACACATGAAGACACACACAGACACACACACACAAGTGAAGACACACACACACACATACACAGGCACAGGCACACACACACACAGGCACACACACACACACACACACACACACACACACACACACACACACACACACAACAGAGACACACACACACACACACTACACGACGACACGACGACACACACACACACACACACACACACACACACACACACACACACACACAGGCACACACACACACACACAGGCACACACACAGACACACACGCACAGGCACACATGGAGACACACAAAGACACACACACACACACACACACACAGCAAAAGCAGTACCTTCATTTTTCTTGTAATTGGGTTTTTAACAAAATTAAACAAATTACATTTTTTTTGGTTAGATCCCGATCGTTGAGTCAGAGATGAAGAAGGCAGCAGGAGAGATAAAGGATGAGGATGAGTTCACCCCTACTCAGCAGAAACTCCTGACGGCTGAGGGAACCTACGCCACACAGAGCGCGCTCACTGCAACTGTCAAGAAGTCCAGCGAGGAAAAGAGGTACATTTTAGAAAGACTTAGTCATTTATTTAGATAGCAAAATGATATGTAAACAAAGTTGTAGAAATGCAATAATTCGATAAACATACTCTCTCATTGGTCAATTTGCTAATTTTGATTGACAGCAAGGGTCAGTCCTTTAGATGATGCATCAATTTAAAATGTCTTCATGTGCTGTTGAATGCTACATTTTTTTTTGCATGTTATTTTCAACAATGACGTCTGATTCTGTCATTTTTTTGGCAACACCTCAAGGTAGGAGCCATTTTGGAAACTAGTATGTATCTCATTGGATCTATATTTGATTGTCAATTTTTTTTCTTTTCCCCAGGCCTCCACTGCGAGGTTTCCTGATGGACGGTGACTTCTTTGTGGGAGCGTCTCTGGCCACCACGCTGACCAAACTGGCCATCCGGTATGGAGAACTGGTACACAACACCAAGAAACACAACGTAAGGAGATCTTTTTTTTATTGTAGCAAGTCATAGAATATTTCATAATGTCTGAATTGTCATTTTTTATAATACGGGTAGTCAAAATCACTAGTCTTGTGATAAAACATGACTATTGTGAAAAGCTGGCTCACAGATTTGATGTGTTTTTTTTCCCAACCAGTCCTTCAATGCAGAGTGTATGCTGATCATGGCAACCATTATCCATTTGGGAAAGTCTGGACTAGCAACCAAGGTATGATGTCTTCTGTGTTTTACTATTAGTTGTGATTTTTGTGTGTTTTCCAATTAGGATAAAGAGTTAATACTAGTTGACATAAGTAGGGAACTCATTGGAAGGATTGAAGCTATAAACAACTTGTTTATTCCCATTCAGCCAATCACAGATGACGACCTGGACAGAATCGCCCTGTGCCTGAAGGTCTTGTCGGACCGTACTCCCGCGGTGAACGACATCTTCAGTCGGGAGTGTCGCCATTCCCTCTCCACCATGCTGGCTGCTCTACATGAGGAGGAGAAGGAAAATCAAAAGGTCACTGACCTTCTAAAAATGTCTTAATTAACAGCACTTAAAGTTTGCTACAAATGTGTAATATTTTTTCCCTGTGTATGGAGGCTTTGCTTTTTTGTCTATTTGTCTGTTTCTAAGCTTTTCTATCCATAGTTATTTGAATACAAGATGTAAAGTACAGTCACAGGAAGTGAGGGGGGAATTGCATAACCACAGACTGACAGGAAGTTTGAATTGGAGGTCAAAATGGTCTCCTCGCAAGCCAGGAGGAAATGAGGACGAATTTGAACCATTAATTGTGATACACAGTCAGGATTGGCTTATTATGTTGAAGGTTCTGTTTGAATATTTTTTGGCAATGGCTTCGGAGTGGAGCCCTTTGACTCTAAACCCTTATCATGGCCGTTATCAGTGCGATGCTTTTGTAACTGTTTGAAGTTAAAACTTTTGGTCCAACACAAAAAAGTTCTCTCACCTAGAGCTTTCGACCAGTCACTCTGGTCTTCCTCAGTAGACTGACCCAGTGAGACTTGTCACGTGGCTTCTTTGAAGTGTGACGTCAACACTGGATCAAAGGTATCTAGTAGACGATGTCGGCCCCTGTCACGGTTCAATGTAGGGTGATGGGCCCTGATGTATATGGCTTCCTTCACCCCTCTCAAGAACCTTTTGTTACTGTTTGGTGACTGTTGAACCTTCCTTGCAGACTGTGATAGAGAAGAAGACAGTGAGTGTTCAGCCTGATGACCCAATCAGCTTCATGCAGCTGGTCAACAAGACAGAACATGGCACCACTGAGGTACTGTAGATTCATTTACTTACACTGTATTTTTATTTCACATTAAGAAGGAAGATAAGGTTTTTACAGTGTCATGAATTTGCAGTTTAAACAATTCTGTAGAATAGTAATGCAAAATAAGAACATAACATCCAAATGTTTGTCAGATGTGCTGCTACTCTCTCATTGGTCAAACCACTAACTGTTAATTGCAGTGCTATCATTGGTTGAAATGCCAATTGTGATTGACAGCCAGGATTGTTCCATTTGTGGTGATTAGAAATGTTACACATTTGCAGCCACATTCTTATTGGTCGAACCACTAATTCCCATGCTATCATTGGTTGAATTGCTAATTGTGATTGACATCCAGTATTGGTCTATTTGTGGTGATTGAAAGATTTCTTGTTTTCTATAGGACTTGTTTGAGTTAAGCCTGCTCCAAGCAGTCGGGACTCCACAAAAGAAGGATGCTGCCGACCCACAGGCCTCAAAACTACAGAAGGTAAGAGATGAAGCTTGTATAGATGTAGAATCTAAAGGTTCTGGGTTTGAATCCCTGGCTGGCCCCAGTGTTGTACCCTTGAGAAAGGCACTTAACACCTATTTCCTCACTTCACCTGGTATAGATGATTACTGGTAACAATGAAGCGTCTTTGAACACCATTTCATGATACACACATTTTAAAATCTTGATTTTCAAGTATATCAATTTGATTATGAAATAAAGACTGAGCTTTAACTTCTAACACTAGATACAGAATTGGGACTTACCCCAAATTTTCGGTTGACTCCATCAACCTTGTTCACGGAATGGACCCGTCTACTCTTGGAACGTGACGTCAGAGACAACAAGTGACCGTAGTAGAAGCTGTTAGTTAGAAAATTGTACTGGATTTAAGTTCTTATCATTTCCCAATTATATCATAATGACATTGTTAACAATACTGAGTTTTGCTTTTATACAAATTCTAAAAGAATTTTCTCCTTGTGAATATGTGGTGTTCTTGTTCCCAGGTGAACCAGCTGACAGGGTTCTCTGACCCGGTGTATGCGGAGGCGTATGTCCATGTGAACCAGTATGACATCGTGTTGGACGTTCTGATAGTCAACCAGACCAGTGACACCTTACAGAGCGTCACTCTGGAACTGGCTACTCTAGGTCTGTACTGTAAATTCATTTATTTTCTTAGCAACTCAATTTCGTAGTAGAAGGGGAAAACAGAACTTATACAGTTTTAAAGTTCGTGATGAAACAGTTGTGTAATGCAGTAGTTAACTGTTATATGTTGGAATTCTGGGAGAAGAAGTAAAAAATAAAAGCACTGCAAGCATTGCAAGGATTGCTTGCATTCAAGCGTGGAATGTGCACAGAAACAGTGACAAATTCACAATGGATAAAACAAGAAATTCACAACACTCACTCACTCACTCAGCTCTGCATGCCCCTCCAGGGGGCGTAGTGCCTCTGCATTAACAGCCCTCCAGGTCTGCCTGTCTCTGGCTGCCACCCAGGTGGTGCTGATGTCCAGTCCTGCAGCCTGTAGGTCGGTAGACAGCAGGTCTGTTCACAACAACTCTCCATAATTCCTGGAGGTGTAAAATCTTTGATTTGTTGTTCCAGGTGACCTGAAGCTGGTAGAGAAGCCCTCTCCCATCATCCTGGCTCCTCATGACTTCGCTAACATCAAGGCTAACGTCAAGGTGGCCTCCACTGAGAACGGCATCATATTTGGCAACATCGGTGAGTACATGTACTTCCCTTACAAAAGACGTAACATACATACTGTACTGTTACAAAGAACTATCCTGCTTTGTTTTCACTTTCTTTTTAGAAATTTAGATGTTTCAAGAGTAAAGGTCCCTATTTGCTTGAGTCTGCATTTCAAACATGCATATTTGATCAGGTAGCAATTTGGTCTTGTGGACATAGAATCTAAAGGTTTTGGGTTAGAATCTCTAGCAGGTGCTAATATTGTACCCTTGGAAAAGGCACTTAACACCTATTTCCTCACTTGAGAGAGGTGAAAATGAATAACGATCTTTGGGTAGGGATGTCCTCTCATATTAGATGTAAAGCAGAGGTTCTGTGTTTGAGGAGAGCCACGCCTCAAGCATGTTAAAGAACCCACCACACACCACACTTATCGTAAAGAGTAGGGGTCCTTCCTGATGTGAGTGGTTCTGATCTTACAGTCTTATGCAGGGGATGCACCTACCTACAAAACTGGTGTGTTACACATAAAGGCACGTACAGTACACAAAACCAAACAATGCAAAAAACTGTGACCATGCTTACATCTTTGCTGAAATATTTCTTACATCTTGTTCTGTCAGTGTATGACGTGAGTGGAGCGGCGAGCGACCGTAACTGTGTGGTGCTGAACGACATCCACATCGACATCATGGACTACATCGTGCCGGCACAGTGTTCTGACAACGAGTTCAGACAGATGTGGGCAGAGTTCGAGTGGGAAAACAAGGTGGGTCTTCTGAAAACATTGCAAATGTCTACAGTTAGGAACAGATAACTATTGATGATTACTGATAAATGACACTGCAAGGTGATCTAGATCTTGTGGAAAGGTTCATGACATAGAATCTAATAGTTTTGGACATGAATCCCTGACAGACTCCATTTTTGTGCCCTTTTAGGCGCTTTACACAAGTTACACTGTACATCTATATTCCTTATTTGACTTAAGTTAGGTCTCGTGTTTGAGGAGAGACACCCCTCAAGCTAGTTATGACGATCTCACAACACTTATCAGAAATAGTGGAGCAAAACACAAACAAACAAAACAAAGCACAACTGAGGCTGTTTTGTGCTGGCATGCCAGATTCACAGATTTTAAGAGCCAAAAAAAGGTAACCTACATGTATGGTCACATTAAGTCAGAAAAAGTTAATGTATTCATGACGTCATGAAAGCTTAATTTGAATACAAAGGAACATTTCTTTGCTACAGGTGACAGTGAACACATCCATAACCGACCTGGGAACCTACATGGGACATCTGCTGAAGTCTACTAACATGAAGAGTCTCACACCGGAGAAGGTCAGTTGTTTTACTTTGTAAACTGGTTACTTCTGAGTATTGAAGTATTGTTTTGGGTGGCTAAGCTGTGGGTTTGCGTATCTGTTTATCCTAACAGAGTAGGTTGACAGCATGTGGGTGGGGCAAAGATTGACAGGCAGAATGGCAAAAAGTAAAATGTCTCAGATTCTGACATGGGGCCAGCATGGGGGAATTCAGAAAGCCAAGGATTGCATATTTTCCAGATGTCTTGATTTCAAGTTAGTGAATACAAGTGTAAATGGTGCAGTGTGATGTATTCAATGTAAGTTCTTTAAAAACTAGTATGCTTGCTAGGCAAATTTATATTAGATTTAATCGTATTCAACATAAAACGTTTGTACTCAACGTAAGTCTAACTACAAGTGAAGGATTATGCTTCATCTTGTAATGTATGTTCTGATTGGTTCTTCCAGGCACTGTCTGGAGAATGTGGCTTCATGGCAGCCAACCTGTACGCCCGTTCCATCTTTGGTGAGGACGTGCTGGCTAACCTGAGTATTGAGAAGATGATACACCTTGGCGAGGACGCCCCGGTACAGGGACACATTCGTATCAGGGCCAAGAGTCAGGTACGTACAATATACTTAAAGGGCTGACGTCACAGTTCACGTTTGTCTAGGATATCCATTAGTGTGGATTTCACACTACTCTTCCTGGAGTCCGTAGTGAATCATCACATAGTAGTATTTGGACCATCGCACACTGGGGCATGCCCCTCTCTTTTTTGAAAGGTGTGGTGGGTTATTTAACGTGCGTGGGGTGTGGCTCTCCCAAACATGGGACCTCAACTTAACCGTCCTATCCAAGGGACGTCCCTAACCAAAGCTAGGTACTCATTTTCACTTGAGCAAAGTGAGGAAAGTCATGTAAAGTGCCTTTCCCAAGGGCACAAGATTGGTGACAAGGTAGGGTTCGAACCCGGGACCTCTTGGTTCCGAGCCAAACACGCTACTGCTATGCCACACGACCCCACGCGTAGAGTAGTGACAACTTAACATCCTTGAAAAATCTTTCTTTTCCTTCAAAATTTTGGTCCAATTCGTAGACTTTTTTGGGTTAGAAGGAACAGGTAGGCTCTAAGCTTTCCCAGCTATGAAGGGCTTTCTGTTGAAGAAGTTTGACATAAGGGCAAGTACTTTTCTGGGGCCTTGTGTTAGGCCTTCTCATCATAGCCTCCTATGAAGAGAGGTAACTGTCTTATCTACAGTACCTTAAGGGAAACCAAAACATACGTTTCAGAAGCTTATGCCCTAAATCTGAATATGAGACATTGTCTCTGGAAGCAATGGTGTTTGAAAAGGCAATGTTGTAAAGTTTCAGTTGTCAGAACGTTGTGATGTTTAACGTTACATGTAAGCAAATTTCATGTTCTTTCTAAGTACATTTAGAGTAGCTGAACTGATTATAGAGATCACTGTGTCACTTTTTATGACCTTTTTTTTTTTCTTTTCCAGGGGATGGCCTTGAGCATGGGAGACAAAGTGAACATGTGTCAGAAGAACCCACCAAAGTGAACAGACTAATATAGGATGAAATCACTTATTATAAAAGTATTGTAACTGTTGCTTAAACCTAAAATCGCCCTACTAGGTAATTTCGCTTCAGAGCTACATTTGTATATTGTATGCCAGACTGTACGACAAAATAATTAGTCCACGCTTTTTAGTGTTCAACTGAAGTGTAGTTGTTCACTGCTAAAATGTACATTTCATGACTGATTAAATACAAAATAAGGTGGATAGGGTGGTGACTGAGAAACTTTAATTATCCCTTTTAATACACAATTATCACAATAGTCTAAAGTGGCGCCATAAGGCCACACAGATGTGATTGTATGGATGGCATCCACATGCCCGTCAATTTTCATCCGAAACTGTCAGTTTGTGACCATGGTGTCCTACAAAGAAGCTGCAAAATGAGGAAATACTTGCTATATATTGCAAAAAAATAATCAGAAAGTGGACAGTCATGTGGTAGAAAGCCTTTTTTGCCATATTTTTTTTTTTTGCCATTTGTATCAGGGTTGACACATGCATTTTGTAAAGTCATTTTGCATGGCCTTTGCAAAGTCTTTCAAACTCAAAAATTATGTATAAAAAAATATGCAATGTATTATTTGGTATACCATGTTCTGTTTGTTCAGTCATTTCTTCAACTTTCCTGAAATTTTGTAAATGAAGGCAACCTTTTTTTGCTTGACATTTTTTGCACACTTGCATCAGTTTTGGGGTGTCCAAAGGATGTCATCCATATAATCAAACCAGAACGGCCTTAGGATAAGAATTGAACCATAACCTTATAAAATGATAGTTCAAGGATTGTCACAAGTGTTATAAAGCAAACTGCAGTATCTGTGGTAGAAGTTCAAGTAACAAGTTCTTTAGTTTCTGCACACTAGTGTGGGAAATGCTAATTCATGTGATGAAGTAATTTGATGCAGGTTTCTAGGGCAATGTAACTTTGAGTAACTTGCTCCAAACCAGACAAAGAAAATAAAGTTTCCTTCTAAAAAACTGTTTTTTTATGACATGCTTCTTGTGTGTCCATGTGTGCATGTAATCTACATCCACCTGTTTCGGGCTCAGTATTTATAGCTGTCTTAGTGTAGCTTTAACATAACAATTATAAGCTAAAGCAAAATCTAAGTCCATTGAGTTTTTATCTTAAATATCATCCAATTTCTGTGTACACATCTTATGTCTTACTCAACTATTTCCTGACGGAGGGTATCAGAGAGAGAGGGAATCCCTTTGATAGTCATGTATGTGGTAGCACAGCATTCCAAGTTGATGAGGTATTTCTGGTGTTTGGAATGCGTTTATTACAACCTATGGGTATACGACGTAAATAATGTCCTTGGGCAATCATTCATCAGTCTATATATGATCTCTGGATGCCCAGGTTGTCGCTCACTCTGCGCAACTCTGCGCACGGAGCATTTCTATTGACAGCTCCGGTGCCCGTACCCAACCTTCTGCAGATTTCTGTTTCAAACCAACAGCTTTTGCCACTGTGACAGGTGGGTAACTCTGTACATGGTATATTTTCCCCTTTTGCTTGAATTTGCACTTATTATACAATGTACAATGTTTAAGCAGTCGTAGTAAGCAACAAATACTTATTCGTTTTTATTTTCATGTTAAGAGAATAAAGAATAGTCTGGTATCCATGCATACGATTGCATGTATCTTTCCAGTATCTCTACAGTGACGGGAGTGGTGCACATGTAGACCTTTCTCGAGAAATAAAACTATTGTTCTAATTTCCAGGTGTGACATGATGTAGGGCTGTTTTGAGAGAGTCAGAACTGATGGACAGCGAAGGTTGAAGGGAACCAAACTTTGTCATGGCAACTGCTTGGGAGTACATTCTGGTTGTGGTCAACGGAAGTAAGTTCATATTTTTGCCTTCTGTTTTCTTGTAACATCTAAAATTTAGTTTTCTCTGTTCTCCATTTATTTCTCTTCTCTTTATATCCTTTAATTTTTATCTCGGTGGAAATTCGGAGGAAAAGCACAATGAGGTTCACTGAACGTAAGAGTGTCACAAATACAGCCTGACATAAACAGCTAGTACCCATTACTTTTGTAACTCTAAGGTATCTCTGTTTTGTGAAAAAGAAAGCTAAAAATGTCCTGTTTAGCAGTTTTTGTTCATAAACTCATGGGGGAAACTATTCAAAATTTGTGACCTACAGTTGCCGTTGTGGCGACTGTTGTCGGTGGGCTCCTCACCATCCTAGCCATCTGCACACGCCCGGACCTACGAAAACTGGTCAACGTGCCTCTGGTCAGCCTCGGTTGTACAGACATCCTCTTCAACTCCATATTTTCCCCCTTTTGGATCCAGCAGATTCTAAACCCCCTTTGGGAGCCCCCGCCAGCCCTGTGCTGGTTGATAGGCTATACCTCTCCCGTGCTGTTGGGAGCGTCCTTATGGCACATGTTGTGTATCGCTCTTCAAAGGTATTTCACGATCTGTACCAACAGCACACGTCTGAAGTCCAAGCAGGCCCTTATAGTCATGATCTTGCTTGCATGGTCGGTCCCTATCCTTTCTTTCTTGCCTCTTTACATCATTGAGGAAGTTAAGATGGATCCAAAGCTGAAACGGTGTGGGACGGCAAATTCTGACAAACTCTGGGCGAAGGTTTCCCCGGCCATTCTAAACTGCATATTCCCGTACATCGCTGCCCTTGCCTTTTACATCCTTATCCAAAACCACGTGAGAAAGAGTAAGAATCGTGTCCAAGGTCATGCAAAGGGCCCCACAAACCGTTTGGCAGTTCAGTTCTCGAAGTCGGGTGGTCGTGGTGTAGCCATTCCTTCCACGAGCGCGGAAACCGACAAGGTGACAAAGCCGGTTAGAAACCTGGAGGGTGTAGTGTGGGTGGGAGACGAAAATCCCTCATCAAGTGACGATGAGCCAGTTGTCAAGCCAGGTAAACCCAAAGTTACTATCGTGCAGGTTGCTTCAGCACCTGGCACAGGTGAACAACAGGGCAAAAAATCCTTACTCAGTGACCAGGAACCAAAAGGCAACGAGCCAGATAAAAACGTCATCCCAACCGCCACCATAGTGTCAGATCAGACTGGTACAAATAAAGGACCACAGCGAGCTCACGCTGTCCCGGGAAACAGTTCTCAAAACCACAATAGCGCCGCTGAAAGGCAGATTATCAAAATGATGATGTTCCTGTTTGCTGCGTACACGCTGTGCAATATGCCTTTTATTGTGATGATGATTTTCTCCAGCAAAGTACCAGCTGAAGCCTTCGCTGTTGGCCAACTGCTACTCTCGTTAAACGGTGTCCTGAACCCGATCATATACGGCGTTATGAACAAGAACATTCGCGGGGGGTACAAGCATATCTGTGTCCGTATGCTCAACTTCATAAGTTTCTGTCAGCCTCGCTAAGAACGAACGCTTGCCATTGAACCGTTTATTCTGACGCCTGACCACGATTCAACCTAGTAATAATTGATTTGACATCATTGCAAACGTGAGACTAAATGGCACATCAAAAATTCAACTGAATTTTGTTTCACTCACTAATGTAGAAATTTTAGATGATCTATATACCTGCGATAGACTTCAATGAGTTTGAGTCACCTTCAGTTGTCTTTCCTACAGATATAGTTATGAAACAGACTTTCTCTTTCTAACTTAAAGTGCGTCACTCATACATTGATAAGCTACTAAGAATAATAACTGTCTTCAACAAATATTATGATGGTTCACAAAGATGGGCATGGTATGTTAATTGACGGTCCTTTTGCTGCGTGAGCGATCGTTTAAACATCTTACAAAAAAGAATGCAGCCGTGTCATGACAGTGCAAAATTCTCTATGAAAGTCGTACTGCAATAAGTTTGAGTCACCTTTAGTTGCCTTTCCAACAGTAGATTCTTATGAAAAAGACATTCTCTCTCTACATTCAAACATTAATAAGCCAATAAAAATGATAAGAACTATTTTCATCAAATATTTCAAAATTCCCCAAGTAATGAAGCCGTGTTATGATGCACATGGTATGTTAATTGCCAGTCCTTCGGATGCGTGAGTGATCCTTTAAGCATCTGACAAAGAATGCAGCCGTGTCAATCATTCACAATACGGATTCGAAGCCCACGTGCTCAAACCACTAAGTGTTTGATATCAGACATTGATCACTAATTATAACAACCTGTTAAAGAGGAGCTGTAACATTTTACAGATTTGAAGAAGGAAAGCCAGTAGCCCTAAATCAAGCAACCGAAATGCAAACCGAGTTTGCAAAATCATGTTTGAACAAGACAACCTTTGGTTTTAATTTTTACACCAATACTCAAGACGTGGGCTTTAGCAGGTACAACATGCATAAAAGTACATTATGTTTAACTCAAAACTACATCATTATTGATGACGCCATTTTACTACTTATCCTTTTCCCTAATTTTGATTTGACATCATTGCATTTGAATGCAAATGTGAGACGAAATGGCACAGTTAACAACAGTTACTGAATTTTGTTTCATTGATATATACATGTAGATTTTAGATGATCTCTATGACAGTCGTACTGCAATAAGTTTGAGTCACCTTCAGTTGCCTTTCCAACAGTAGATTCTTATGAAAAAGACATTCTCTCTCTACCTTCAAAGTGCGTCACTCATACATTAATAAGCCAATAAAAATGATAAGAACTATTTTCATCAAGTATTTCAAAATTCCTCAAGTAATGAAGCCGTGTTATGATACACATGGTATGTTAATTGCCAGTCCTTTGGATGCGGGAGCGATCCTTTAAACATCTGACAAAGAATGCAGCAGTGTCAATCATTCACAATATTGACTCAAAGCCCACGTGCTCAAACCACTCGGTTTGATATCAAACAGCAGCTGAGAGTTCTTCAATTACTGCAAAAATGAAGCCCTTTTGCGTAAGCACTAAGCAAGCAAGAAAAGAGAGCCTGTGTAGTAACTATGGTGGCTAGGGTCTGCTTGGACTTCATTCGGAGTTAATGTTATACATTGTTTGGGTACATGCGTATAGTGTATAGTGGTTGATAATAACATTATTATTATTGTATTTGTGTTCCTGTAATTTAGCAAGTGTATAGAGAATGTACCTTGCTGTAAGGCACTCTACATTGTAACTTGTTATCAACACTTAATATACATGTACTTACTTTTGATGTTCTTAAATGCTTTCTTGCATATTGTACTATGTAAAATAAATGAAGGCAAGCTATTTGTAATTGTTAGAAAATACCTCTTGCCAAAACTTGCTATTTATTGCACCTTGTATTAAGACTTTTAATTAGTGTTGCACAATAAAGTCTAATGAGTATGCACCATTTCTCGAGCCAATAGTAACTACAGAGGATCCATGGTACCAAGAATTGGGCCTGTAGTGGTTTGAACTTTATTGGAGTCAATGTTATTCATTGTTTGAGTACACATACTGAGCTCATAGTGCTGGATGTTGCTTTTTGTGATCTTGATCACCCTCTACATGACTTAGTACCACACACTAGGTCAGGTGCCACGGGACGGACACTCAGAAACTCTGGCAAAATCAGTCTAGTACCTAAAGCCAGGACTAAGAGACTTAGCAACTCGTTGACTGCGCTGTTCGCCTCTATTACATTAGACAATTCACCAGTAGCTCAAAAATCATACGTGATAACCACATATTGTGTGCAAATTTTAATTGTGTAATCATTTCGAAATGTTTTAATAGTGTGCTTGCCATGTTTCATGTGTACAATGAAGAGTGTCACAAATCATTGTTTTTAATGTGTTATGTACTTATGTAATAAGGACGAAATTCGGGTATTTGCCCATGAGAGCCTTATCGAATAAATTTGAATTTGTGATCTAGCATGTATATAGTACTACCAATTTAACCTTGCTGTAAGAGACTAACTTGTCATCAACCCTGTTAAACTTTGAATGTAAAATTGTATACGTATTACATACATTATTCCAATGCTTTCCTGTATGATACTGTAATATGTAGAATACACTTAGTAAAGTCATTTATTATTGTTAAAAAACTTTGTTGCTAAAACGTGCCATTCTTTGTACCTTGTATCAAGTGTTGCACAGTAAAGTATATGCACCACATTCTTCTGGATATGGAGTTGTTGTTTTGGGTGTGTTTGTCAGTGTGTTTGCCACTTTGGTACCTGTTAACCAGTGCAATAACTAAGTGGGCAGCTAGTGCTTGCCTTGCATTCGGTATGTTCGATCCCCGACCGAGTCATACCAAAGACTGTATAATGGTTCATACTGCTTTCTTTGATTAGCACTCAGCATTTGGGAAAGGGTAGTTGAGTGAAAAACATATCACTACCAGTCCTAAATCAGTCAAGATGAATGCATACACTAGTTAAGTCAGACCACATCTAGAATACGCTAGCGCCTCGTGGGATCCGTACTACAAGGAACATATTCACAAGTTAGAATCGGTCCAGAAAAGAGCGGCCAGATTCATTTCAAATACCTATGACACTTATGCCAGCACTACCAAATTGGTCACAGATTTAGGGTGGGACACATTAAAGGACAGACGCACAGCAAGTAGACTCACATTACTTCAAAAAGCAAGACACTCAAAATCAGCCCTTCCGGTCAAAACCTTGTTGCCGCCTATCCCGCGCCAATCGTGACACTTCAACTCCAACTCATACAAGCCACTAACGTTTCACAAAGACTGTTACAAATATTCATACTTTCCACAAATTGTCAGAGATTGGAACATTTTGCCCCAAGAGATAACTGATACTGCGAAACCTACGAAGTTCAACGCTGCAGTACTACAACACCTGAGGACGCAGCAATAGCGCATCACACAGCTCCCCTGCACGTTTTACCCCAATTTAGGGGTGTTGTGCAGTGCCCAAACAAGACAAAACAAGACAAGACTAGCCCCCTGCTGTAGGGATTCTGTTTGGCCCAAGGGCTGTTGAACAGGGGATTGGTGCTGCCCTATGTACCACCTGGTGCAGGAATGTGTGTGTGTGTGTGTGTGTGACTGGGTTTGTGTGTGTGTGTGTGTGTGTGTGTGTGTGTGTGTGTGTGTGTGTGTGTGTGTGTGTGTGTGTGTGTGTGTGTGGACATGCATATGTATACTCCAGCATGTTTCCCAACCCACTTGCCCCACACGTGTTTCCCACATGCCCGCCTCCCCGCCCGTGTATGTGTGTAATCGTGTGTGTATGTATGTGTGTGTGTGTGTTTGTATGTGTGTGCGCGTGTGTTGTGTGTATGTGTGTGTGTGTGTATTGTGTGCTGTGTGTGTGTGTATGTATTGTGTATGTGTGTGTGTGTGTGTGTGTGTGTGTGTGTGTGTGTGTGTGTGTGTGTGTGTGTGAGTGAGTGAGTGTGTGTGTGTGTGTGTGTGTGTGTGTGAGTGAGTGTGTGTGTGTGTGTGTTTGCCTATACTCATGTACAAGTTTTGTAGATATTTGACTACAGTAGAGAGGCAGGAAGATATGAATGGAAACCAAGCAGATGCATGGTGGAAGGTAAAGTCGTAACAGCTTGGGGATTGCCATAGTTATATGCCTGACAGAGACTCTGTTTCCATTGATATGATATGAAGAATGACACCGAAAAATTCACAAATTGATTTCCTTCGTACATTCTTCGTCAGTGTGATAATATTCAGTTTGTTGTCATGAAGAAAAGACCAGGTTCAAACTGAAGCTAGCCCTGTCCTTGGTGCTGAAAGCCATCCCCGCATAATGCCCCCCTCCCCTGTTCGTAGTAATATTACGCCGTTGCCGAGCATTTTCACCTCTCCTAGCCTCATAAATCGGCTCCTTTTCTCTGCAGAGGCAGTTCTTACAACTCTGTAGCTTATCTGGGGGACATAGTTGCCCACAATAGTCCCATTCGTCCGAAAATCCTTCGTAACTTCAGTTGTTTTATTAATACGTAAGGCCACACCAATTTAATTTGTTGGTTCTCGGATTCGCCTCTTCATTTTTTTCTGATTTGCAAAAAAAAAAAAAGAAATTCTGGTTCTGAATCAACTAAAAAATGCTCATATTTTGCCCCCAACAGTTGTGGAAAGTCCTTTTCTTCCTAGCTGTTGCAGTGTTTCCATCTATCAATGCAGTGGTTTGATTAAAAGTTCAAAATTCATTGTTTAAATATTAACACAACCTTTTGTGTTGACTTCATGGCTCCTATCATAGCATTTGGGGCTATAATAGGATGCCTAAACCTGTTTTTATTTTTATTTTTTTTCGCCCTGTCGCTTCATATTTTTTCTGAAAAAATCCGAGAACCAACAAATTAAATTGGTGTGGCCTAAGCGGCTTTATGGTTTCGAGTCGGTTGCCCATATTTGGTCGTAAAGTGACACGTCATCGTTGTTTCTAACCAATCACCAAATTTATAAAGTTGCATGATGATGAGGATAGAAAAATTGAAAAATTCGAATTTGTAAGATGAAAGTCATAATTAAATCATTGTATTTTTCAGGCCTGTATGTGTGATGATTGCCTATTGGCTTGTCGTAAATCTAATCTAAGCTTGATTATCGAATGCAAATTTTGCTTAGGATTTACAGGTGGCCCATGACACGTGCGTGAAACACGCCTTTTAGTCCTTTAGCTTTCCAAGATGGCGAGTGTACATGGACGGGAAGAACGAGCGGGTAACAATTACGCCAAGGAAGACGCGCCACGCCCGTTTTTGGTGGTAAGTTGTACTTTAAATTGTCGTAGATACTCTCCGGACTGTCATAGATAAATCTCCTTTAAGTTGAATGAAGCAAAAAGACAGAATTTCGATAATAAGATTCGGCAATTATCCCCACGAGTTAACGCTGCACTTAGTAAGTAACCGATAGAGGCGCTTTTGTGTGGTCGATAAAAAAGCACTTTCATTTATTCAACTGTTTATTCAATTTTTTTGCACCGTAACCACCAATTATTTGAACACGGGTCAATCAATCACGATTACAAGGAACACTAACACTACAAGGGGCCACCCCCTTAGATACACAACTCTCAGTTGCAAAACAAACATCTTCAGAGCCAGTTATTTCCCAAGAACTATAAAGTTAATAGAATGGAACGCATTACCACAACACTTAGTGACACAACTATCTGTCGACACATTCAAGA